TTGTTCAACTCGTTTTTTTGCAGATTTTCACCCTTTAAAGCGGCATTATGCAAAGCCATGGATTTCCCTTCATTCTTCGACTTTTGTCCTTGGCAGCGGACGTCTTAAGCCGCTTTAAAACTTTGGCCACTCCGCTGGGAGAGCGGGCATCTGATGGATGCGACTGCTGACTCTTTGTGACTCTTCAAGCGTAAGCCGAATTCAATCAGAGGACCTCTTAATAGGCCACCAGCAAGGCAGGCAAAGCAAACAAGCCATTTCCATTGCCGAAAAGGCAAAGCGGAATGGGGTGGCGACTGGCTTTTCGGGGTAGCTCCTTTATGGTTTCCACTGAAATAGAAAATTAAATTAAGATGGCAGCTGGCGCTGGGTAGGAGGGGCAGCATCTGGGGAATACGGGGCGTATGAAATATTACGCATACGCAGCATGGCACGGCCATGATTACTATAATGCCTAGTATTGTGAAATATATGTCGAAATGGAAATGGAGGCCAGAGCTGTGGCTCCAGCTTGATTGATTCGACTGTCCACTGTCCCCAGTCCCCGGATGAGAAATAATTGGGAGACAGCCTGGGACCTGGCCCCGAAAAAATGCCTCGAAAACAAGGCACACAGATAACAAACTCATAACATTTAATTACGCACAATTTACTCATATGTTTACACCTCCCAAAAAAAAAGCCTAGATAAGCGTTTGGTCAAAGCTGATCTCGCAGTTCTAGCTGCTTCGTTAGCGATTGCTCACCTGGCAGGTGCAGGGGCAGAAGGCAGGGCACTATAACTATTGCTGTCACTGTGACTGTCATTGTGATTGGTGTTTGTCACTGGGAAATGTGGTAGCCGCCGGACTTTACTCGTGTCGCTGCCATATAACTCTTAGGCCGATTGGCGATTGTCAACTGTCGAATTGGGAGTCATCCTGCCGCCCAACTTCTCCTCGCACAGTGGGTTAAAAAGATATATTATAAATATAATAAGATACTAAACAACAAAAATTTAACTAAGAAATTTTATCTACAAGATATTTACCTATTGTTTCAATCATGTTTCCTAAGCCTTGGCACATATATTTAACAAATAATTATTATTGCGCCACTGTGACCCATACTGACTGGTGATTATTCACCCGGGACTTTTGCTAGTCCAGCGTATTTACTTGTATCTGCCAGACCGCCACCCGTCCCCTCTTGGCTCCTTTTAACAGAGTTATCTATCAACGTGCCAGCGCCTGACATGGGAACCTCGTCACTTGTTCAAGGGAGACAATGTAGGACCTGTCCGCTGGGTAAAACTATAACTATTACTCAGCCACTATTGAGCTATTTCAAGAAGTCAAGTTAATACACAGGAAATCGTATTGCAAAGATCCCGCTTAACGATTTCCGATACGTATTTCAATAGCTGATGCAATGGAAAGAGCCTGCACGTGATGCCAACGTGCCTTGTGAAATGGTAATGCAATCCTCGCCAGAATCGGGCAATCGAACAGGGCAGTAATGCCCCGGAATCCGATATTGGCCATCCTGATAAGCTACCTGTGACGCGTGAGGACTTGAGCTATTTATTGTTTGATTCCAGCGACTGTAGATATCGGTAGGATATATTTATATTTAGCTTTATGTCGGGCAGTTTCATTCACAACTGGATAGAGGTGGTTTTTGTTGATTTCCCAGTTGAGGTTTTTATATAATATTAAGTCTAATCACTTCATGATGTACCAAGAGATGTATCCATTAATCGAATCGATTGTTTATTGCCATTCTAGCTGACTCCTCTGATGAATTTGCCTCCATTTAGAAGGATTCTCAATTACGCCAGATCCATGCAAAGTGCAATGAAACCAGCAAGAAGTTTTCCCCAATTAATTTGCCGGCTTTCAAAGGCAGAAAAGAATGGCGTATCATTGTAGGGACTGTGTGCATCTCTAGCTCCTCGTTTTGCCGTAATTAAACGTGTGAAGCGAAGCCGGATGACCACGCACAAAAAACGCAACGAAGACAAATGGCCTGAGGGAAAAAATACATAAAGAATAAAGTGGAGAGCCCGCTTAAAGTTCAGGCAGCCGCAGGAAGATTTAGTTTTTGCCTCATTCCGGATACATTTGAATCCGAGCCAGCAGCAGCAGCTGGAGAACGTGTTTACTGCCAGTTCACAGCTATCGGCAACTCAACTTTTTCAGAGCATGCACGGAGTCTGGGTTCTTGGTCCTTGGACCTAGTGTTCCTTATCACCGCCGTCATTTTTCAGCACCCTCGCACAGATAGCGTCGTGTAATAGAAACGCACTTTATCTGCTGGCAAGCAGCTCAAATAGCACTCACACTGCAAACAAATAGCACTGAGTTCATAGATTAAAATATATAATTATTAAAAAAGTTTACTTAATAAAATAGGATGACTTACAAGCTAATAAATATCTTTAAAAAGTAGTCTAGAGTAACTTAATTAATTAATTACTGAGATTTTGTTTTAACAAATTAGTTTCTTCAAATATTTTTCTTAGTGTTTAAGCAAAAAAGAGGGGAAAAAACCAAACGCGTGCAGTGCCGATGCATCCAGCTGGAAACTCTTTTCTGGCTGTTATTCCTTGGCCAAGGCCAGCAATGTGGCCAATTCGATGGCGACATGGTAATAAACTTAATGCCAACTGATTTTGACAGCCCTTGTACACACTGGCTGTAGAGGGAGAGATAGGATTAGGCAGCGTAAAAGCCTGGCTTTGGGGAAAACTCTTTCTCATAACCTTCTTTCCCTGAGCCTGACAAATGCGCGAAAAGTTTGAACACTTCTTTTTTTTTTGAGGACGACGGGGCGTATGAGTTATGTGATCTGCAAAGGAGCACGGGGATTGGGATTGCCTTGAACTGGAGCAAGCTGCTTATGCTTGGGCTACTTAAATCTACCATCGATTGCGATTCCCAGTCACGTATGCCATAACTTGTCCTAGAGAGCGATTCAAATTATGAACGCGTTAGAGCCTCAGTCGTGGCTCGTGATTGAGCTACGGCTTGTCATTGGCAGCGTGTCATAATGAATTCGCCAAATGAATTCGAAGCAACTATAGATACACTGGAAGAAATGGGGTTAATAAAGCACAGAGTTGTTTGTAGAATTAAATAGAATTTTAGGTATAAAGTAAATACAAGTAAATAACCGCTTAAACCTATAAATATATTTACAAATATTTATATATTTCTTTTCTAAGTGTTTTCTAACTTTATAAACATATTTTTTCTCTGTGCATCCCATAAGATGGTAGGTGTCAGGTGCATTGACCAGTAGTCTCTTGTTCTCTCCTTTTGTTTTCTTGGGGACAACACTTTGGAATTGGCCTCACGCAGCCCTTGGCCACGATCACTAATTGCGTTTGCCAAATTAATTAAATCGGGCAATCGTTGAGCCATTTGTTGATTGAGTTTTTAACTGAAATGGGGGAATGGAAGTGGGAATGGAATTGGAATTGGAAATGGAAATGCAAATGTCGCTTTCGCTGCCTGTTGCGCCCCTTGCGATTGAATTAATTAGGCAAAAGGCAATTAAGCGAATCGACCAGCTCCTGGTGAATGTCGACCCGCGACCCAGCACGCGATTTCAGTCCTCCGGGAGACACCTCCCCTCACTGCCTCTTTCTCTTTCTCTCTCCCGCAACTCCTTTTTTTATATACATAAATTCCATTGCCAATAAGTTGGGCAATAAGTGGGTGTCTCCCATAAGGGCTGGCTAAATAACGGCGTTAATTCGTCAAGCCCTTTCCCCCACTCGAGCTTAACTACCGGGGCGCACTAAGTGCTCTCCGTTGATGAAGTACAATAACCACCCACCCTATTAACCGCCCCATCCCTGGCCGCTGCCTTTCACTTTTCCACTTTTCACTTGATGAATCGCAAGGTGGTTAGCTTGTAAGCTGGGAAAAGTGGCAAAGTAGCGGCAGCTAGGCAAGGTGGGCCAATTAAATGGAAAACGTTTTCATGTCCCGCGAATTGTTGTCGTGGCTTGATGGATGCACTCTTGCCGCCAAAACACTCGATTGAGCAGTCAGCCAGTCAGTTCTCCCTGCATCGCCCTGCTTCATAGCCCATTTCCCATTACCCATTTTCCATTTTCCGATCCAACTTCTGGCTCTGAATGACGGCTTCCGGCTGGCAACCGCGAGTGCCCAGCGAGCCATTCACACGCTCTTTTGATATCTCGCCGCGACTTCCTGCAGGACAAATCCCAGAGCCTGCCTCAGGCACCTCGCTCTCCGCTCGAGTTTGGTGCAAACAACAGATATCCTTTAGACAATGCACTGGAATTAATTGCTGTATCTATCAAAAACAAAGTCAAAACTTTCTACAAACTGAAAGAAATTATTTATAAATTTTAAGAATGCTAGGAAAAATATCTTTCCTCTTGGGAAAAATGTTAAATGTTTCTTAAACTATTTTCTAGTTTAAATTGCTTCAAAATTTTGTTCCCAGTGCAGGATGTTCTCTTATTTATGGAACGTCTGTTTCTGTGTTGTTCTCTCTTTCATTTTTGCTACATTTTTATTATGTTCCGCAGCACAGACGTTCGATTGTCTGGCAATTGATTGCGTTGCTGGCTGGACTTGTTTGCCTTTAGAGCTTGGTATTTGCTGTCAATCTGATAACTGCGTTTACCCGTGGAGTTGTGGGTATAGATACCCATACCCATCACCATAAACCCTTGGATGTTGTAACATTTTTCAATGTAATCCTTGAGCATTCTCGAAGAGACCTCTACAATTGATAGGCCACACACACGGAATAATAGACTCGAGGACACTCTCCGATTATCTAGGGTACAACATAGTTGGGTTAGTGGCTTTTTTGTTGTTTCGCCGCCTTATCGATATCGATGTATATTTTGGCAAATATTTATCAATTTATTACACTAAAAAATTGCTACAATTAAGCGAGTGTGTGTTGTTGTGTGTGTGACAAACGTGCCGAACGATGATTAAGTTTTCCCTTTTATTTATATACGCTTTTTCCAGCTAAATACAACACGCTGCCCATGTGACAACAATAAATACAGGAACAGAGAGAGAGTACAGAAAGCACACAGCAAAACAGAGAAAGCGAAAGCGAAGCGGCTGAAGGAGCGACCGCAGGGCGGTGGACATGGCGTATACGCAATGTGTTATTACTATCGCTGCTACTGCCACGGCCACCTCGAGTCAATTAAGAAATTCACACGCCAGCGGACACTGTAATTGAAACCCGCAACCGTCCATACCCACCTCTTCTCCACTATATTTTGCTACCCTAGAATACTCGATTGCAGAGGTTATCCTCTGAAGTACCTCCGAAAATGTCCGCCTTTCGCTACTTCTCCATCACGGACTTTACGTTCAATGGACCACTGCCGCCGCTGCACGCCGCCGCCACCGCGAGCCGGGAGGCCAAGGAGTCGGACAGCCCCAGCTCCGAGCTGAATATACCCTACACCGTCTTCGAGGTCCTTGTGGCCATTGTTAGTATCATTGGCAACGTTCTGGTGATCATCGTCTTCCGGCGCGAGCGGAAACTGCGACGGCGCACCAACTACTATATCGTGTCGCTGGCCATGGCCGACTTTCTGGTGGGCAGCCTGGGCATACCCTTCGCCATCCTGGCCTCACTGGGGCTGCCGCGGAACCTGCACGCCTGCCTCTTCACCTGCTCGCTGCTGGTGGTTCTGTGCACCATCTCCATCTTCTGTCTGGTGGCCGTCTCCGTGGACCGATACTGGGCCATTTTGTATCCGATGGCTTACTCCAGGAATGTGAGGACACGCACGGCAATAGGTGAGTGTGGGAGTTAAGGGAGATTCTGGGGCGTGAGGATCGCTTTTAAAGGTTTGAAAAATAAAGAAAAGGGAGGCTCAAAGTTGGTTCTTTGCACAATAAACCTCCTTGGCCATGTATTTCCTCTTTTGTCGGGATATTGTCAAAGTATTCAGGCCTTTTGCTGTCCATTGTTTTGCATTTCGCCATTGTTGCTGAGCTGCTAATGACTCTGGATGGCTAATATACGGCACATTGTTTCTTGCTCGCTTCTATTGGCCATGTTTGAGTTGTGGCTTGGCCAAGACAAAGGCCTGCAATTGAACAGATGGCAGCTATAGTAAGCTGGCCGAGAAATAGTCCATAAAAAAGCCCTTTAATATTTTAAATACAAAAGAATCATTTAGAAGAACAGAATGTATCACAGAAATTAAAGTTAAAAGTAATTATGATAAAGCTAAAATTATAAATTTATAAACTTGAAAATGATTTCAGTTTTTAATTACTTTACTTCTTCAAGCTATTAATAACTATATCGCTTTCTCTAAGTTTTTTTCTTAAGGAATCATTACTTTATATGTATATTTATGTAATTCTTTAGAACTAAATTATATTAAGATGCAGTTCAATAACCCTTAAAGGTTACAAATTATAGTTCCCCCGCGATTTGTAGCATTTCAGAGAAGTATTAGTAGCACAAATATGCTTCCAACTGCTGCTTCAGACCATGAGTGATTAAGAGACACATTATGTCCGTCATTTGCTACCCAGTTCCCTTTTGGCTTCGGTTCAATAAAAGTTAAGTTAGAGCTCAGCGAAGGAGAGGGATTGCTGCAATCTGCTCATATGACGTCCAGGGGAAGCTCCTTTACTCCCTTTTGACAGGCTTCGGTCAGTTGGTGGCCTCCGATGAACCCTTGTCCTTCATCTCTCTCTCTCTCTCCTCGTTGCAGTCATCATCTCGATGTGCTGGGTGGCCGGGACGATAGTAGGCTTCCTGCCCCTCTTCGGCTGGCATGCCAATGTGGGAGACAACCAGGAGTGTCTGTTTGTTGAGGTGATGGACTACGACTACCTCGTCTTTCTATACTTTGCCACGATCATCACTCCGGCGCTCCTGATGCTGGCCTTTTACACGCACATTTACAGGGTCATTATCAAGCAGGTGAGTCTTGGGTATGCCTCAAAAGAGCTACATATATTATATATCTTTCCTCTTTCTTCTCTAGGTCCGTCAGATCGTGACCATGAACCCCGCCTCGGATCTCAGTCGTCGCTCCTCGGCGGCGGCCGTACAGGTGACCACTGCAGGTAGGGGCGGCCATGCGGGCACAATGCTTCGAGTGTTGGGTGCTGCCAGAAAGCGGGACGTAAAGGCCACCCAGAACCTGTCCATCATTGTGCTGTTCTTTATGATCTGCTGGATACCGCTGTATACGATCAACTGCATCAAAGCCTTCTGTCCGCAATGCTACGTGCACCCAAAGCTAACTCTGTTCTGCATCATCCTTACGCATCTAAACTCGGCGGTGAATCCGGTTCTGTATGCCTATCACCTGAAGGATTTTAGGGCGGCTCTTAAGAACCTTCTGCTGCGGATGATGGGCGTGGATATCGACCAGCAGGCGGAGGCCATACACCGCTTTTCAATGGCCAGCCAGCACCGCCTGCAGTCCATGGACTCCAATATGCGCTCCACGCAGCCGCGCCTCTATGTGGGTGAGTGTGAGTGCGCGTTGTCCTGCTGGATGCTCTGCCAGTCTCTCTAATTTGGTTTTCCATACCCTTGCAGATTCACCCATCTGGCTGAGGCAGCAGCAGGAGGCGCTCAAGAACTCGCAGCTCCTGCCCAAGTGCGGTGTCGTCTCTCCGTGTTTTAATAACATCAACCAAACGGTGGCCGCTGTGGCCTCAGTGACCACGGAAATCGAGCGGGAGATGTGGAACATTGTGGAGGCCTCCAGTGGCGCCGAGGTGGGCGAGACCAGCTATGAGTTTCCCTCGCCAGCTCCCGTCTCGCAGCGCAGCAGCAGCTCTACGGCCCCGCCGGCTCCTACTCCTGCTCCCCCCTCTGGTCATCCTGTGAAGCCCTCTATTCCGTCCGCCTCGTATGACAACCATAACTATAGCTTCAGCCAGGATGAGGAGGAGAACGATGACGACGATGACGATCTGGAATTCGAGGATGTCTTTGTGCCAGCCAGCTCTGTTCCTAATCCCCCACAAACTGGCATCGATCCCGTAGAGCTGCGTCGCTCCTTGGCCTTGGTGATGCGAGAGAAACTACGCTCAGATGACACGGACTCCCGAATGCCAGAGAGAAGTCTGCAAGAGCTGTCCACTGAAACGGAGACCAGGGATAGACCCCTTTCCATCCAGACCTCACCTACGAATGGTCCCCTACCGGCTTTGCTAAGGGCCAAGCTCTTCGCCGGCAACTCCAATAGCGCCCACTGCCTGCCGGCAGCCTCCAGTCCTGCCGCCCAGGAAGGTGCGGGAGTCTTTGTCATAGACAGCGAGGCGAATCCTGGAGCCCAAACTGGTCACAAGCCCAAGTACCGCAAAGGCACGGCCATGACGAGGAGCTGCCTGAAGAAGAGCAGGTCGTGTAACTGCAATGCCAGTACTCCGGGGGCCAAGGGATCTGGAAGCAATCCCAGCGAGCAGCGGGAACAGCACCATCACCATCATCCGCCTCCTCCTCCGCCGGAGAACTTTTTCAGTCCTCTGCGATCGGTGGGCACCTTCATGCAGCATTCCAACCTGTTCCACTTTCTCCAGCCACACGCCCACACACGGGCTGCCTCATCCACGGCCTCCTCCTCGGCCTCCACACCCACACCCTCTCCGCCGCCCGCTGTCCAGGAGGAGTCGGTGCTGACCACCTCCTCGCCATCCCTGCTGGCGACCAGAGCAGAAAGTTGACCTCCAATTGAGGAGGTGGAGGAGGACACTCACCAGGTGGAGAAGGAGACGGGTCAGGACAAGAAAGGATGAGGAAATACTCGCAAGTCAAAGCTTTTACGTTAAGTACTTCCCAGCTCTCATTAGCTCTCTCTGTCGAATTAGGTAAACAGTTGTCAAATTCCATCGGATCTAGATCAATTAGTTGGGTAGTAACACACACAAAAACACACATTCTATCAAGGAAGTCACGGAAATCGCTGAGGATTTTAAAAACACCTGATATGGTGCTAGTAAATTTGTAACAAAATCATTTTATTAGACATTCTTTTGAGTGTTTTTAAACCCTTTACGATTTCTGCTACGCTTTTCCCTTACATGTGTTGAGATTAGAAGTTACGAGCATTTATTTTGGCGTTTCTATGGTGTAGTTAATTATATTATATGTACATAATGTTTAATGTTGTTAGAGTACCTTAGTGCGTACTGTATGTGCTGTTACTGTTACTGTGTGCCGTACATATGTTTATGTCTGCTTATGTATACCTGAACGTCTGTGAAAAGCAAGTTAAGCCATGCGACATGAATTTCATATGAAGTTAAATAAAGCGATTAAACAAGAATGTAAACAAAAAGGAAAAAGAAATTGTTTGATTTGTTCTAATGATATAAAGGGGATGAGGGTTTAGTATTTGTAATTACAATTATGGGACATTGTTTATAAAGAAATAATGTACATAACTCTATATCATACCCTAATATACGACGTTTTCATAAGTTATGGCTTTTCAAGGATGTCTTATAAGAGTCTAGACTTTAAAAATGATTTGTTTTAATAAGGTAAAATAGGTAATTTAACACTTAACCAAAAAGGAAACTAACTTCGGGACGTCGAAACTTGTATACCCTTACAATTTGCCATGTCAAAAATCAAACATAACTAAGCCAAAAATGCATTAATTTCGATTCGGAAAGCTGTTCTGAGTTAGTTTCTATAAGGTTAATAAATCTGCATTCTTAATTCAGAGTTTTTTTAAATTTAATTTTTGGTCAATTTTTTAGAATTTTAATGATGGTACCCCTTATCAAATTTTGGAAAAATGGTCCAATTTTTTTCTTCCCAACATGTCTAGAAAGATTTGCCTGTTGATGCTGATCAATAATATATATGGTTTATGGGGTTGGAAATGATTGCTTCACTTAATAAAATCAATTTCCTTTCAAGAAGACCGGAAATATTAAATATTTTTAAACGGATAATTTCCATATTTTTTATGATCATTTTGGGTAAAATCAAAGTTTAAAAATATCATAACTAAGCCAAAATAGCATCAAAAATCAATTCTGTAAGCATTTCTATGCTAGTTTTTTCTAGCTTAAGAAATCTGCATATTAAACTTTAAATTAAAAAAAATTGAATTTTTGGTCGATATTTGAGAATTTTAATGATGGTACCCCTTATCAAATTTTGGAAAAATGGGTCAAATTTTTTTTTCTTCCCAACATGTCTAGAAAGATTTGCCTGTTGATGCTGATCAATAATATATATGGTTTATGGGGTTGGAAATGACTCCTTCACTGACTAAAATCATTATACCCTTCAACTAGACCGGAAATATTTAATTCTTTCTGGGTATTTATCTATATTTTTATACCATAATTTTTTGATAAATCAAAGTTTAAAAAACCAAAACTAAATTTAAAAAACCTCAAATTCAATTCAGAAAGCTTTCTTAGTTCGTTTTTTTGAAGGTACGCCGAAGTTTGTATACCCTTGCAGATATTATTTTATTACATTTTAACTATACTTATTAATTCATGAAAATCGGACAACTATATCATATAGGTGTCATATAAACGATCGATAGATGTAGAGAAAATGTAAAGCTGGGAATGCAAAACTGTAACTGTCAAACTGTAAACATAATAAGTATAGGTAAAATGTAATGAAATAATATCTGCAAGGGTATACAAACTTCGGCGTGCCGAAGTTAGCTTCCTTTCTTGTTTTTATTTAAAGCTGAAATAAATAATAAACCTTAAAATGAGGAGGATGCGGTTTTTTTTTGGGTGGGATAATTTAAACAGGCTCAATAGAAGGGCTTCCTTGCGGTGGAAAATTAAAGAAGAAACATCAAAGCAAAATAGCTAGATGAGCATCATTGACAGTTGGTGAGATGCCATTTTGTCCCATTAATGCAATGTAGCTAGATGAGCATCACTGACAGTTAATGAGAAATAAATTCAAATAATGCAAAATAGCTAGATGAGCATCACTGGCAGCTAGTGAGATGCAATTTTCTACCAATAATGCAAAAAATAGCTAGATGAGCATCACTGATGCACATGAGCATCACTGCCATTAAGCCCAACTTTATTGCCCCCCAATATTGAAATATAGCCAGATGAGCATCACTGATGGAAGTGAGCATCACTGATGGAAGTGAGCATCACTGATGGAAGTGAGCATCACTGATGGAAGCGAGCATCACTGATGGAAGTGAGCATCACTGATGGAAGTGAGCATCACTGATGGAAGTGAGCATCCCTGATGAAAGTGAGCATCACTGATGGAAGTGAGCAAAAATTTCCATTCAATTTGGCCGTTTCCCAAACTGGGGTAACAGGCGAACAGAAACCAGCAGCAAGCAACTGAAAAATGGTATAAACTGTTATAAAAACTTTTGGGCAAAAATAATAATTGGTATAAACTGTTATATTTCATTTTATGCATTTATACCTATTTGTTGCCGACAACAACAGCTTATGGCAACAACATCCTTTTTACAACAACATCCCTACAGCAGCCCATACAAATTTCCGAACATTTCCATGCAAATTGCCCGTTTCCCAAATTGGGGTAACAGGCGAACAGAAACCAGCAGCAAGCAACTGAAAACTGGTATAAACTGTTATAAAAACTTTGGGCCACGAAAAACGTGCCAGTGTGACCATATTGTAAATTTTGTCCAAGTTTCAAACCATTTCGGAGCCGGCGCACGTTAGCGGAGACTCAAACCTTTTGAATCCAAATTTAGGATTTATTTTACAACTGCACCTGGGCACACTGAAACTGATCGTCGTTAAATTCAATTTCAAATTTGGCAGTTAAATTCAAATTCAAATTTGGCAGTTAAAATATTCAAAAAAATTTTAAAAAATCTTAAAAAAAACTTAAATAAATATAAAAAATCTGAAAAAAGTGTTAAAAATTCAGAAAAAAATGTTAAAAATTTAGAAAAATTTTAAAAATTTAGAAAAATTGTAAAACATCCGAAAAAAATGTTTAAAATTCAGAAAATAATTTAGATTTTGCTTTTAAAATAATTAGATTTCTCCCCAAACGATCGCAAATAAATGCCGCCTTTACCAAAAAAATTGCACATTGATTTCACCATCTTTAATTGATTCATATTTGTGTGTTCTATCAATTACATTTACATATTTAAATTGCATTTATAAATATTTTAATTGTCTACGCCTGCTGCAGGCTTTCATGTAGCCCGGAGCCAAGATCCAATCACCGTCCTCTACTGCCATCCGGTTGAGATCTGTCCAGCCATCTGCTCGCTCCTCCAGCTTCATCTCTAAATCCTAAAATCCTAAAATTATATAAAATTACGTTATAGGGTGGGAAAGGTCTCCATCACTTTCTTTCTTTTCAATATTAATTATAATACCTCTAGATTATTTTTGTATTTTCTAATTGTATTTTATTATTATTTTCCTTAAATTATTAAATGTATCTAAGAGATACAAAAAAGTATCTTTTATAGTATCTTTACTTTTTTGCAAAGGGGTGGCAAGCCTGCTTCGCCAAAAAAGCTCTTCCAAAGCTTACTGGAAGCAACGACAAAACCTCTCCATTGAGAACCACCCCCACCGGGTTCAAGCATCGACTGAAATACATTTTTGAAAATCCTAGCAAGCCGCTTATATAATGTTACTTTTAATGCCAACCGAATATACTTGGGAATGCTCAGGTAGATATCGGGAATTGTGAAATGCGATGCATTCAAAACTGGTACCCAAAGTCTACATTCAGAGTGTCCGTTGCATCCCAACCCATTACCACAGTCATTACCATTACCATTACTTCCTACGCTCGTGCAGCATGGACGCGAACCAACCGTCCGTGAGCGGTGTGACGGCGGACGTGCTGAAGGCCGTCGTTTCGCAAGCTCTGCTGGGCAAGTTCACAGCTGTTTTCCCAAAGCTCTTCAAGTGCCAGTGGAAGACGTACGAAGGTCAGAAGAAGGTTAGTACATCATCAGCAGACGGACTTCGAGGTGGGTGTGTGCCGGGCCGTGCCTGGCCGGGATTTCAGGGGACTTTCTGGCCCAAAGTTGGCTGCGAGTCTCCAGTCATTCGTAGCCCAACAGTTCCAGACCCAAACTCACTTTCATCCGTATCTTCTCCGGCAGTTCTTTGCCAATTTCAGCACCGAAAACATCATCACCGCCAGCAACAGCAACAACATGAGTGGCCGCAAATTCTGTGTGGGAGGCAACTGGAAGATGAACGGCGACCAGAAGTCCATTGCCGACATCTGCAAGACCCTGTCGGGAGCCGCCCTGGACCCCAACACCGAGGTGGTCATCGGCTGCCCGTCCATCTACCTGATGTACGCCCGCAATCTGCTGCCCTGCGAGCTGGGTCTGGCTGGCCAGAATGCCTACAAGGTGGCCAAGGGTGCCTTCACCGGCGAGATTTCGCCCGCCATGTTGAAGGACATCGGTGCCGATTGGGTCATCCTCGGCCACTCGGAGCGTCGCGCCATCTTCAAGGAGTCGGACGAGCTGATTGCCGAGAAGGCTGAGCATGCCCTGGCCGAGGGACTCAAGGTGATTGCCTGCATTGGCGAGACCCTGCAGGAGCGTGAGGCTGGCAAGACCAACGAGGTGGTGGCCCGCCAGATGTGCGCCTATGCCCAGAAGATCAAGGACTGGAAGAACGTGGTGGTGGCCTACGAGCCCGTCTGGGCCATTGGCACTGGCAAGACCGCCACTCCCGATCAGGTAGGTTTATAGACCTCCTCTTTGCTTCCCTTACTTACTTATTAATCTCTTCTTTTTCCAGGCCCAAGAGGTTCATGCCTTCCTGCGCCAGTGGCTGATTGACAACATCTCCAAGGAGGTCTCCGCCAGCCTGCGCATCCAGTATGGTGGCTCTGTGACCGCTGCCAATGCCAAGGAGCTGGCCAAGAAGCCCGACATTGATGGCTTCCTTGTGGGCGGTGCCTCCCTGAAGCCCGAATTTGTGGACATTATCAATGCCAGGCAATAAGCGCGAACTTCGATCTCCGATGAGCCACCGAACGCAGCTGGAAAGGATCTGAAATTAGGAGTCCTTTCGTAAATAGCATTACGCACACACCTCAACGCCACCAGGAGTGCAGTTCAAAATCCCTAGTTACCTTTGCGAGAAAAAAAGCTACACTTACATCCCTGTTGTTAAACGTATAGTCGTATATTGTGTACATCTTAAATTATTCTGGCAATAATTACACGCTACTCATTTACTCATAGACCAAAAATTTAAACCAAGAATTTTATTCTCTCGAGAATTATGTATGTTTTTGCTGAAGCTATTTATAGTGAAAGTGGCGGGTATATAGACAAGTGTCACCTGTGTGGACCTTAAACGGGGCTCGGCTATTACTTAATTTCTGATAACAAGTATTGATAATCGCAATCAAAACATACTGACCTCTTGAGCTGTAGAGGGTTTCAGAGAGAGGCAAGACTATATAGAAAGGCCTGAAGTACATAAGTTTAAGAGAACATATATTAATTTGTTTGTTTAATTATTCAAACTTAAGCAGATAACATTAATTGCGATAAGAAGGAAGGAAGAGATTTTTCTTATCTTGAATTGGATTTTTTAAAATTTTTGAGATAAGTCATACATGTTAATGTTCAAGTGAAAGTGTTGAGATTGAAAAACCTTCCTTAAACCTTTTTCTACTAAAAACTAATTCGAATTAAAATATATATCATAACCTTTACCTTTAAAGATCCAAGTAACCTCTGCCTATTCTATCTTTTAACCCCTCAGTTTAAGTTTCATTGTTTCCAATTTATAGTCTTAAACGTCCCCGCTCTTCTTTTGACTGGAGTTTTTATATATTAAAACAAATTTTAGCCAGTTTTAGCCAAATCCTTAGATAAGTAAAGAAAATTCGTAAATTTATTTTAAAACTTGTTGTTCAAAATGAAGAAAAACTACTTCTTCGACGCCATACTGGTGTCTTCCACGTTGCCGAATGCCGACTTCATGCGGGATACCATGAGAGCGGATGGGGGTCGTATCTATAGCATACGTCTATTTGACGACTTTGAGGATCTGCCCATCGATCGGTTGTTCGTGGAGGAGTTCCCTCCGGGACCAGCTTTGGCTCGGTTCACGGCAAGTCCCTGCGAACTGATCGGCTCACTAACCACCAGGGGCGTCTGTGTGGGTCTCACGGAGAACAATGAGCAGATTGCCGCTGGAAATTTCATGCTGGGACCTCCCATCCTGCGCCAGCTGACGGAATCTGCCTTCTCGGTGACGCAGAACATCACGGTGGAGCTGTTCGAGGGCAAAAACTCAAAGTGCGTTGTTGAGCTCATCGTGAAGATCAGCTCCTCCGATCCAGATATTAAGTGAGTAGTATGAAGTTGGGTTTCTTGCTTGCCTAACTCTTGATCCCCACCAGCCAAATCCTGGTACCATTCGGCAACTATGACGTGTGTCGACCCGCGGAGCGAGACATAAGCAAGAGGGACATCATCTTCACTTTGGGTCGCTCGGGTAAATGTGGCACTAGCGCCTGCATCACGGACGAGCGACTGATGTCGCATGCCGGGGCGCCCAACCCTTGTCCTCATGCGCCCACTGAGGGTGCGGAGGCCAAGGGAGGTGCCGCCTCTAGTTGCGGTTGTTTTGTGGCTGGCATGGAAGCACCGAATGCGGCTGAGGAGGCGAAGGAAAAGGAGCGGACTGCCCTGAAGCAGCTCATCGAGGAGCTGGGTCTGGACAAAGTCAAGGTGCCCAAGCCTCCACGAACATTCGAAAAGTCACGTCGTTGGCATACCTCCACTTCGAGCCTTACTCCGAATACCACCTCCACATGCCATCCCAACGAGTTCGGTCCGGAGACTGCACCCAGGAAGAGGAAGGCTCTCTCGTTGACCGCATCAATGGAGCAGCAGGCACGTCGCAGGATCCTGGGCCCGTATCCCGTCGCAGAGCCGGAACTGAAAAACGAGCCCTATAAGCCGCCACATCTCTGCCCGCTCTGCAAGTCGGACATCAGTTGGCTGCCCAAGATCTCGGCCTGTCCATATTGTGGCTACAAGACCTTCGAAATCATCGCCTCTAGCGAGGATCCCTACGATATGACGACCACGGCACAGCAACTGTTGCAGGATTGTCTGCGCAAGGAGGTTTGTGAGAGAGACTCCTTCGCAGGAATGGTGGATCAAAATGACAAAATAGGCGACGGATCTGATAAACTCTCCCAGCATGATGATCCCAATATACCAAACCGGTGCCTTTGCATATCCGGCCAGCCCTGTGCCCGCTGTCGCATTCGCACGCTCTGCGAAAACTACGTCAAGAACAACGAGGTTAAGCAGCCGCCGTTGCCCCAGGCCCAAGCTGGGTCCAAGGACCATTCCCAGCCTGTTCAAGGAAAGGAGCCAAAGCGGAAGAAGTCCACTACCTCACAGCGACATTCTCAGCTGGTATCCATCTTCACGGAGATGAGGAACATGTATGACCCGAAGAACGGCACCGCCGACAAGGCAGACGATCAGGCCATGTGCGAGGCTATCTGCCACGGCACCAAGACTTCCAAGGCCAGGAGAAAGGCCAGAAAGGAGTTGCAGAAGGCGCTCAAGGAGATAGACAAGGCATACCCCAGCCCGCCCAAGAAGCGTGTCAAGAAGCGCGTACAGCGACCCAAATCCAAGTGGTGAGTAAAAATTACCTAGTGACCTGAGTGACCTGTTTTACCCCACAGCTACACCTTCCTGAAGGTGCACAAGCGACCATCGAATCCCCGGATTGGGCACACGGACTGCATCTCGGATGGCGCCTGCTCCGGCTACTGCAAGGTACCCTGCCACATGGGCTGGATGTGGACCAAGAGTGAGATGGCGCGCTACAAGTCCTGGCGACCTGGAGCCATTGCCAAGCCCATTCGCCAGATGATGGCCTACTTCCTGCGCGACTATCCGGCGGACAACATCTGTCTTTCACGCTACCACTACCGTTGGAGGGGCAAGGGCAGTAAGGAAAAGCCCGAGGAGGAGCCGCTGGTGCAGCATCCTATGCTGCAAATCAGTCGCAGGGGCGACGAGTACATCATCACTCTGCGCCCTTTGAAAGATCCCAAATCTCTGTCGGTCAGTGCCAATCCGTTTGCGGACATGAAGCCGGTGGTCTTCCGCATCACCAAGGATCCCATGGCTGTGGCGCTAAGGGAATTGAGAGAGTTCCTGCGGGATAGTGGCTTTGCTCCCTGCACCTGTGGCCGGCCCCTGGCCAACTGCTTCTGCCGGACTCACATCGATAAGAAGCGCATTCAGTACGAAGTGGATCAGCAATGTAGCCGCCGCGGTTTGTCCTTCAACTCCGACACCTTTACGTACTCGGCCGAGAGCGATGGCGACGACAGCGATCGGGAGTACGAGTTCGGGGTAACTCCACCAGTCGCAGTCATCAAGCCGGAGCGCCAGCCAAGACCGGACAGGACCAATACGGAGACGCAGTACCTGGAGGAGGACTGGGCCTCACCCTCGGTGTATCCGCATCCGGCCAGCATGCTCGTCCAGTACGATGCCTGTGTGATGGCCGAGCGCAAGAAGAAGTTCAATTGGCTCTACGGCAAGGGCAACGTCCATGCGGAACCCAAGAAGCCAATCATGAAGAATAAGTCCACCAAGCCGGCCAAGAAGAAGCTGCCCTTCCGCAACGCTGGCGGCTTTGATGATCCGCGTCGCTTTGATCCCCCACCGCTAAATAGGCCGTGGAAAAAGAACGCCACAGGGCGGTAGAGTTAGAAACTAACTTACCAAGTGTTTTACTTAATGGACCTTATAATAAAAATAAAATCAGTTTTAGTGAAATGTAAACATTGGGTTTTTATTATGGGGTTAGGTAGGGGAGATTAGAAATAAGTACTATATTAGCTAAAGATATATCTTTAAAATTGTCAGAAATTTAAAATTCAGTGTGCCGATTTAATAGGCTTATAGTTTTTATAATTTTTTGGCTTAGTTAAGATCGATTTCCAATTCAAAACCCTGATCCTATTGCAAAATGCAAGGGTATAGAAGTTCCTGCTACCCTAAGTTAGTGTTCTTTCTCATTTTATTTTCGTTACAGCTTAAAAATAACCAATTTAGGATGCCATGAGATGGTCTTCGCCTCCACTTTCCGATTGTCACTGGCCAACTCCTCATTCTCTATTGAAAGTTCAGGTCGATCGCTTCAGGCTCTCAGGCCTGGTAAAAATTTAACATATTTTTGTATGTGAATTGTCGTGGATTTGCTCGCAGGTGCATTTTTTTTTTCAAATTTATTGTGCAAGCAAATTTTTTGGTTTCGTGAACGACCCGGTTTCCTGATTCAAAATGTGCGAAGCCGTTGATCCAAAGTCCAAGCCGGCGGAGAAGCCACGGGAGGAGCTGATGGACTGGAATGCCTACTACAAGAACCGTGGGCTGATCAGCACCCGGCTGGGCAGTAAGAAGGCAGAGTATATGCACTGCTCCACCGATATAACGCCGGAGAAGAAGGGCACTGGCCCCTCTTGCTGCTGTTCCTCTTGCCCCGTCAAGGATCGCTCGAACTACATACCAAAATGTCCGGGTCCCGGGCAGAAGGGCAAGCCCAATCGGGAATACATGAGATGTTTTGCCACCAATATGGTGGTCCTCAGGCTGGACATGCCTGGCTGGGAGTTCGAGTGCAGGGATCGACTGAAACTCAAGGCCAACGTCTGTAGAAAAGTCAAGCTATGTCTGGATGCCAGTCGCATCAACGTCAACGAACTGCCGGCGGAGGTCATGAAGACCTTCCAGATGGAGCCAGAGTGCCTGGCGAGGCAGCTAGACGAGGGCATTGGCATCTCCCTGGTTTACATGGGCAAGGAGATAGGTGAGTGCGAGTCCAGTTGAGTGGTATCCGCAGGTCCATACTCCGACCTAATCCCGTCCAGGTCGCGGCTGCTACGAGGTGCCCAAAGCTGTGATCAACCGCATGGTCAACCAGTTCGATGAAATCGTGCACGACGCCAACATAGAGCTCACCTGCCGCTGCTGCACCGTGGGTCTGGTCCACATCCGCTTCTCCATGATCATGCGCTGCCAGACCCTCAAAGAGTAAGTAGCGCCACGCGGGCCTGATCCTTGAATGCGATCCCTGAACCCCAATAGAGTTGCGGTCGAACGTTTGGCGGGCGGCCAAGAATGGGGATGTGGTTTGGCGGAGCGGAAACGGAAGGCAAAGGACAGTAACGTGAATCCGCAGGACCTTGCGTTCATGGCGGAGGGCAGCTACACATCCTCCTCCTCTCTCGATCCCTGTGCAGGATTCCTGCCCAGCGACATGGATATCCCTTCAATGAGCAGCCTGGAAGAGAATGTCCACCACAGCTCTCAGGTAAGATTAATGTACCCTGATGGATCCTTGATCCATTTCTATTGCCATTGATCTCCCGCAGGATCCGCAGCCGCAACTGATCGACATGGCGGGGCCCTTTCCCGTTTACTCCTGTCCTAAAGGGGATGATGTCTACCAAGATGTTACCATCGAGCCACCGGCTGGACCCTCTGCCCAGTTCTCGCCGGAGCAGCAACACTTTCTAGGCGATGGATCCACCAACCGTTTAGGCCAGAAGCTGTCGTCGCCGAAGCTGCTCCAGATGCACATTAGCGGCACTCGCACCTGCATACTCTGCGGTGAGGACGTGTCCTGGTTGCCCAAAGTGGCTGCCTGTCCTTACTGCGGCTACAAGGCCGTTCCAGAGTTTAAGGAGCGCGAATACGACGAGAATGCCACCGCCCGGCAGATCCTGCTTGATCACCTCGAGAACCCAGTGGAGGAACTCAGCTTTGATCTTGGGTCAGTGGAGGGATGTTCTGGCGATGGAGGCCTGGATTATGGCACCACCTCCGAGGCCTTTGAGGCTGTAGTGCGGGAATACCAGGCCCTGAAGCGCAGCATCCGCCAATCCCAAACCAAGGCCTGCGAGTCGGTGACCCAGAAACAGACCAATATGGCAGTGTCCGGAGATCAGCTGCAGGGCAAGTCCCGACCACAGGACCTGGTCAAGATCTTTGCCGAGCTGAAAGAACTGTTCAAGGTAAATGAAGTGCAGGATGAAAGGCAGAATATGCAGGAGATCTGCAAGGAGGCCTGCAAACTGGCCAAGGGCAAAAAGAGCAAGAGTCGCTTAGCTGAGGCAGCGAGCAAAACTAACGCGGTACCCTCGGAACCCAAGGATGCCTGCGAAGTGCCCAAGAAAAAGAAAAGGCGAAGGACTATAAAGAGGTCCACCAAGTCCAGGTACTACTCGATGTACTCTCCCCAGAACAGGATCAAAATAAGGCAGGATAGCATTCCCCCGGACGAGAGGGTGCCCGCTCACATGGGCTGGCTGTGGACTGCTCATCCGTTGGCCTCCAAGCCCGGCTGGCGACCTGGAGCCATCCGCCGCTCCATACGCCAACTGATGTGCTACTTTCTCAAGGATTATCCCTTGGACACCATCCCTGTCTCCAAGTACATGTCCTACTACAACCATAAGAAGCCACCGACCTTGACACCAGTTGGGACCTGTGAAGATCTCGTCCAGGTGCCTACGCTGCACATCGAGAAGAAACATGATGTTTACACCATCACCCTCCGGCCGCTGAAGAACGGGGACACGCTGGCCCGCTCCGCCAATCCGTACTTGGACATGAAGCCCGTACAATTTCGGATCGTAAAGGACCCGCTTATGAAGGAGCTGCGCGACATGAAGCGTTGCCTCAAGAACATGGGCTTCAGCAAGTGCACCTGCCACAAGCCGGTCATGCACTGCTATTGCCGCAGTTTTGTGGACAAGAAGCTCTTGGTCCAACGCATCCGGGAGGAGTGCGAGCGCCGTCACATCGATCCCTGCGAGGACGACCTGGTGTTGTCAGAGACCTCGGATAGCGAGGCGGAGTTTGAATTCGGGGTCACGCCACCTGCTGGCCTGATGCGTCCCGATCGGTTCAAGAGCAGCCACATCAAGCACACTGAGACGCAGTACGACGAGTCCGACTGGGCAATGCCCAGTCAGTTTCCACATCCGCCCCATCCCGAGGTTCAGTATGCCAGCTGTGTGATGGGCGAGCGGAAGAAGCCCTTCAATTGGGTCTATGGCAAAGGCGTTATCCAGGAGGAGCCCAAGCCGCCCAAGATGCGCAATATCCCCAAAAAGGGAAAGAAAAAGAAGGTTGAGCCGGGACGCGTGGCCGGAGGATTCGCGGGGCATGAATACCAGGACTCTAGCATCTACAGTCGGCTAAACAACAACTCTCCACCGAGGCGATTGATAACTCCGGAAAACCTTGTGCCGCCCAACTACTCCACGGACTCTGAGCTGCCGCTGAGTGGCGAGCACATGCGTCGCCTGGACCAGGCAGCCTATCCACCGACGGCCCCGCAACGCCGGGAGCCCTGGGCCCTGGAATTGGAGAAGGAGCGGCAGCGGAGAAGGGTCAAGCGAAGAGCCAAGAAGCTGGTCCGGTTCGATCCCAGCATTGGACCTCACTCCTCAGACAGCTATGATCCTTAGGGTCGTTCAATTATCCACATCTCCTTTTTAATGGTTTTAGCCCATTAAACACAATATTCCATTAATCTGTAGTAACCGCATAAAATTACAAGTTTTTTATAAAAGATATGGAATAATTTCTGGTAGTTTTTGGGGGTTTTCTAATTGGAATTGAATATTAAAAGTCTTTAATTTATAGTTTCAAATAACAAACAACTCCCATTGAAGACTTAACCCATCATCAAGGCTTTAAAAATCATTACTTTGCTTACCTCACCTTACAAAGACCTTTAATAGTTTACAAATCTTAACTGCAATATGCAAATCTTTGCTCACTAATAGTCTCATTGAGGTCGTTACTCCAAGCCCGGTTTGTTTATCTAACCTTAACACTTTAACACACATTTACCGGCTTAAATTGCAGCCGAAATGGGTGGTACTACCAAGGAAGTCTCAAAAAGATAATTCCCAGGGGCCCTTGCTCAATCCCGATTTGTTTATCTAACCTTTGTCGCTTAGCTGGTGACATAACTGCTTCACTTCATGGCATATGCTGAATTTTCCGGTCCATAGTCAACCACAAATGTCTTTCTAATAAGGCGACTTTGCGAGGGATTGAATGTTCACCGAAAGACTGCTGACGTTGCGGACTGCTGCTCTTGCTTTATCAGCAGCACAATCTGCGATAATTTAAATCTGTTGAATCACTTCTTTAAATTTGCTTTCTTTCCTTATCATTTGCACAAATCACTTATCGTTATTCAATAAATCGCTGCCCATTTTCCATTTTCCGTTTGCCATTTTCCAACCCGAATTGCAATCCGCGAAGCGTTAAAGTCGCTGCCGAGACTCAAAGTCTCCAAGTTTCGGGCTAAATGAATATCATATCTTGATTGCCAGAGCGTGGGCCATGTAATTCCCACTCGACGACTCCAGGGGAGCTTACAAAGCGAGCTTGGCGCTTTGGAGCGCGGCTCAGACGCATTCCAACTGCTCGGGTGTCAGCATGTGCGGATTGGTGCGGATCTTGTGCCTGCTGGGAATAATGGCTCTACTTCTGCCGCTGGGCTACCATGGTGAAAGCGTCGAGGGAGGCGACCTATTAGACCCGGCTTATGGAGACTTTTACGGGAATGCCAGTGCCCCCAGGTTGCTGCGATTCCGTGACTTTGAGCCCAGGGAGCCTAGAAATGTGGCCTATTCTTTGGTGGAGGATCCACTGCCAGGAGTAGAACGCGAGGGTCGCGGCTTCCATTTCCATGCTAGCGGCGAGGACGTGAGTGTGGAGCTGGAGTTTATTGTTCCATTCGTGAAGGTGCCTGTAAAGAGGAGCATGAACCTGGCCCGAGATGCGGTCCAGAGTATTCTCAATCTGCGAACGGGAGCTATTCTGAATACAGCTGTGGTGGTGGCCGCTGGAGCGGTTATAGCAGCTGTAGTGCGTCTGCTCCTGGCTCCCCTGGTGATCACCTCGCTGGGCAATGGTTATGGCTACAAATCGGATAACAGCAGGGGCAGTAAGTAGTTGGAACTCAGGTGACTTGAAGTGCATTTCAATTGGTTTCCTCTTGGATAGTGCGTCGACTTACCGATGTGGTGGAGTCCCAACTGGAAGAGCACAATATCGACATGACTGTCTGTGTCCAGCAACTCATCTGCCAGTATCTGCAAAGGAATTTGACTTCTGGTTATGCCAGGGTTCTCAATGTGTTGGCCAGGTAAGATAAGCTTTCCTTAAATATTTATTAATTCAAAAAATATTAATCTTGATCTTTATTATATTTTCAGCTCTTCCTGGCTGCCCTCTTCTGTGCAAGGAACAGCAGTCTTCCAGGCCATTCAATCTTCGAGAAGCAGTCGCAGTTGTTTCCAAACATATCGCAGCTGTCGATGGCCCAAACGCTTAAATTGGACGTCGGGATCTCTGCCGCAAATACTAAAGTTCTTTAATGGATAATAATACCTAGACTTTTATTATTATGATTACACTTATTAATTTATTTAATTTTATAAACCCATATTTTTTATATTAATAAAAAATTACCTGACATTATTGAATCCATTATCAGTAGTATCGCTATTTTCTTATGTAAACACAGTGCCGGAAAATTGGATTAAATGCCGCCACTTCTCCCCAATTAGAGAAGGTAGTCTAGTATGGCATCTTCCGCTTTCATCCAAAGCTCTGCCGGCTCCTCCTCCGGCTAATCGTTTTCGCACCTCCCAACCACTGGTTATGTCACACTCGCCACTTTGTTGCATTTTGTGGCTCACGACAAGAGTGGGAACCGAATTTTAAGTGTTCCCAGTCCAGGAGCAGCCAAGCGGGAACTGAAAAATACACAGAAAACAAAGGTGTATGTACTCAGAGAGTGATTTATAACATTTTTTAAGAAATATGCTTTTAATATTATTAAATAATAATATAAACTTAATACATACATTTAGCTTAAACAACGGAAAAGTAAGGACAACTTACTATATTATTTTCTTACTCAACTTACCGCTTATTTCTTCCAGTGCATAGGTAACCCAACGAAGCAGAGCGTCGGCATTGGATGAAAGGTCTACTAGTGACATCGCCTGGGAAATTCGGAGTCAGATACCCACCAGCAACGGAAGGCATCGGACCTATCAGCGGGAAAATGAAGCTGTACTACCTAACCTGCGCTCTCCTGGCCAGCTTTGCCGTCATTTGGGCCGGCAGTGGCGAAGAGAAGTCGGAGGCAAAGAAAGGATCATATAAGCTACCCAGGCCACAGCACCTGAAGCAGAATCATCATGGCCAGGGTTTCAAGCTGCTGTCCTTCGATGCCATAGGCAAGAACATCGCCTTGGGCCTGGATTATCTGGTGCCCTTTCTGGAAGTTCCTGTCAAGCGAAAGCGGAATGCTCCACCCAAGGTAGGTGAAAAGATCTGTAAAATATTCCATAATCACCTTTTTTTTAGCCCCTTGTTATAGTCAATTCTGCTGCCGTTCTTAGCTGTGGCCTGGTGGTTGCAGGAGGACTCCTAGTTGGTCATCTAATTCGCAGCATGGGACTAGAGGCAATCACGGGAGATGATCACAAGCCCATACTGGGAAATGTTTCCAGTAACAATACCAAGTCTTCGGAGGAAGAGGACACATCCACATCATCCTCTACTCTGAGTGCTAACAATGCCACCTATCGAGGAATATTCGAAGAAGAGCTAAGCCTGCCCAGGATCTTTGACAACTTTAAGCTGATATATCGTAACGAAACTGGAGATCGTGTGGGTGAGTTAAAAACCATAATAATTATTATTTTATTTTGCATTTCATTATATTTCCTCCCTTAGCTACCAGTCTTCCCAATATTCTGGGCACCATTGAACACTCTTTTCTAAATAACGATGTAGATTTGTCAGTTTGTCTGCTGAAATCCATTTGCTCTGTGACCCGCAGCGCTGGGGATAAAGTCCTTCAGGGTCAGGCCTCGGATATAGAGCACCTGCTGGATGGGGCCACTAGTTGGTCCTGGCTGCTGGCCTGGCTGGAGCAGTCGGCCTTCCGGGAAGCCATCGATGCAGGCAAGGTAATATCCCCGCAACACTGCAGCATCAAGTATCCGCAGTGCAAGTGGGCTGTTCCGGAGGAGGAAATCATAGAGCTATTTCGTAAAAATGTGCAGTTTAAGTAAGGTTTATTTTTTAACAAAAAACTAAATAAAATAAGATAACAAATTTATTTTATTTACATTTTATTGTTGGGATAAATGAATAGGAATAGGAAATTTTAAGACATCAGGCTCTATATGTAATGTATTTAATTTTGGAAACATTTTTAAATAATTTTTAAAAATAAATAAAAACTTTATAACTTTTTAAAAATAAACACTTACATTTATCTGAGTTACTAATTTAATTTTTTACATTTTACCTAGCCATGTTACTTACCCATTAAAAAATGTTCGTGTCTTGGCTAAAGGCGAGGGGCCAATTCGCCGCACACGGCGAAATTATATTTAATATACAAATTTTGCCTTAAAATTGTATATTCTCTGTCCATATGGCCATCAAAAAATATATCTTAAATCCCTGAAAAATCCCAAAAAATTTCCACCCATTAACAACAAACACCAACAGATTTTTTCTGCATGCAACTTTCATTGAAATGAATTTGTATATTTTTATTTAGCCAATTAATATTTATAAAATAAAAACAAAGTTGAATAAACACTGAACATTGATTGAATTTGGATTAGAGCAAGCAAACAATTCGTTTTGTATGATGCGGCGCCTTAAACAGAGAACTAAAAACTAATTTACATCAAGAATCAAGGTAACTGAGGGAAACATTACGAAAAATTAAAAATTGAGAGATAAATGGTAAAGAAATCGACACAAAAAGTTATTAATTAATTGATAGAGAAATGCACAAGGTATATAAGAATCGGGTCAAGATGTTTACTTAGTTCCAAGTTATTAAAGTTAAAGTATTGTGTAATTTGAAAACATTGAAAATAATGACTTAAATAACTAAATATTACATAAATGTATATATATATTTTTTTGTGTTTTTTCTTCTTTTTTTTTGTTTCCTTTCTAGTAATTATATTTACTTGTAAAACATGTTCAAAAACTCTTCTCTTTTTTTGTCGTCACAGCTTTGGCGCTTGAAAGTTATGAAAACGGGAATACAACCATCACCAAAAAACTTCTTTGAGCCTTCTTCTAGCGGAAAAACCATGAACGTTTTTTTCTTTTTTTTTTTTGAAATTTTAAATTTTTTTCGTTTACGTAGTTTTAGTTTTTTTCGACTGGTATTTGCTCCTTTTCCTTCTTTTTTTTCTGTGTAAAAACTAAACTATATAAGTGTATATTATTCATCGTCTGTTCTAGGCAGTTAACATGGCTACAAAACTATTCAAGTGTGATTAAACCCTTCCTGTTTGTAAATGTGTGTCGGTTAGCTTGGGGACTGGGAACTGGCCTGGGGATGGGGTCCTGACGGTTGCAAGGCTCAAAATCAATCTTTTGGTTAGCTTCCTTCTTTGATTCTCAGTTTAATTTCAATTTCCCCTCGAAAAATGCCATCGTTTTAGAAATGCAGTGCATGCCAGTGGGATCAAGGGATCCGTTGCCGTCTCCTAGGCTATCTCCGGCCAGCCCAGGACCTGCTCCAGCTGGTTATCGCTGAACTCGAAGCCGCCTTCGCCCATGATGTAGTCATCGTTGCACAGATCCATCATGGCTGGGGTGTGCAGCAGGGGATTGCTGCTGTCCAAAAAGGATATCGATGTCTTCCTGCTGGGCGCATTGCTACAGGATCCAGCTTCAAGCTCTTCATCTCCGGTCTGCACCGGGGACGACGATGGCACCACAGCATCTAGTGGTGGCGGAGGCTCACTGGCGGCCCTCGACTCCATGGCGATCCTCTTGCGCGACGAACCGGAAGGTAACCCTTCTACCAGACTGTTCTCATCGATGCCACTGTCGCTAGAGGCATCCGTATCGCAGCCTGTTAGGCCGGGAGGCACCGAGTCATCCAGGGAGACCACTGACCCGGTCTCACAGTCAACTCCACCGCCTCCGCCGGCATCGGAGCCACCGAAAACCGGCGACAGCTGGAAATTGGTGCCGCTGATCAGGGGATTGTGATGATAGTTCCTCAGCACCGCCGACGTGGAGGTGTGACAGTGCAGAGGCAGGCCGTACTTGCCCAGGCCAAGGGTCTGCGCCTCCAGGGAGTTGTCATCGATCATCATGGGCTCGGATTCGCTAACCTGATTTTTGGGGGTGGAAAAGGAGAGAAGAGAAAAGGGGAGATGAATTAGGAATATTTCAAAAGTTTATAAGGAAAAAGGAAAAAAGAGGGTCAGAAAAAGCTTTAATTATTAGTTTTTTAGATTTTGAAAAATATATAAAATTCTATATTTATTTATATCTAGAATTTTCTGTAATATCCTCTTTAAACCTTAATGAATCACAAACAGGAAGCACCACACAGCTGAAAATACATTCCTTAAATTACACAACAAATTGTCTTAAATAAATGGATCGATTTACATAATAGTCCTGACTTAATCTTAACTTATTGGCATTCATTATGAATGACCTACAATTGAAATTACAATTAAGTTTTAAGTACAGCAATCAGAGCATAAATTAAATTAAATTAACCAATTTGCTGCTTAATTACTCCCCGAATCCCCGTGGCAAGCCAGTGGAGTCCCCGAAGTGCGTAACTCCTGAACTGTCTCCCCTTTGGTATTTCCCTATTTCTATGCAAATGCTTGGCTATTAACTCGATGAAACCTGTGGGTGGCTTTAGATCCTACCGAAAATTGAGCGGAAAAACGCGTCTAAGCCGGTGTCATGAAAATGTTTAAAGTCACCAAAGACACACACTGTGCTTAAGCCTCCAAGTCCCTGTGGAAATGCCCCGGGAAGGCAATAGCAGCAGGAAGCTCTCAAGCCAAACCAAAGTCCACCCAAAAAAAAAAAGAAGGGGGCAAGGCAGGCCGCAATAAATCATATTTTAATGATGGCTGGGAATGGGTCCTGCTGCTCCTTCTTCTCGTTGAAACAGAATCCAGCGGCGGGACATTATTATGCTTTGGATTTCGGATTGACACAAAGAATGCCCCGCCTCCACTTTCGCTTTCGTTGTGGCCACCAGCCACCAGTCACCAGTCCGTTCCCATTTCCAATTCCGCCCAGACATACTGACAGGAAGTGGTGGGGAATACATCAGATTCGATGGGCAGACTGGCAGCTTGCAATGTTATTTTTTGGGCAGAGAAAAAACGAACAGTATCCTAATATTATCAGGAATCTTTCGTTATCATTGATTTGCCATTAAAATGATTGTATTTTTTGCTAAAAGGAAAATGTATAAATACGTTAAAATCTCTAAAGAGAAACTTACATTTTGAATACATTAAAAAGGAATATATTTTGTAATTAAAGTCTGAAACTTTTCCTCAGTGCAAATCATCGACAGCTGCCCAAAAATATCAACCCAACGGGTGTGAAGATGTGTCCTTTGGGCAAGAGTTCAAGTGCAGTCTGGTGAACCCTCTGTTTGCAATGCTTTCATCGCGATATTCCCACTCTCCGCCTGCCTGCAACTACGGCTAATTGCAGCAATTAGGAGACAACGAAAGCGAAAGTGCTGTAAGATGAGCAATGATGGATACATAAACAAACAAAACCTAACCCAAGTAGAACAAAGAAAGTAAAAGTACCAGTAACAGAGCTAAGGATGCTGTGTGAACTCGCTCCTCAGGGCATATTACATATCCTCATTGTACGAAAAAAAAAGAAAACCTAAAAGCTGACAGGGCGTATGCGTAACGAAATGGTGAAAAATTCCTGTGGCACGCGCATTGCCCCCTCAGGGCATCGATGTAGCCGCCGTGTAATAGGTTTATTGTTTGATATATTATAGGCTCTGCCCGCCTGGACATATTCTTCCAACCAATATGCTCTAATAAATTATTAAAGGCAATTGCTGCCACGCAAAACAAAACTATTAGATAAAGGCAACCGGCAGGCAGCAGGTCTTCCGGAAATGCCAAGGCATTACAATAATTGGCAGTCGTCCTACGACTCCTCCGTCACTTTGATGTCTTAGTCCTGGTATTAGTCTTTATGGCGGCTTTCCTTCCTGCCTTCTGCTGAGTTAGCTTGCCTCGGTTCCGTTTAAAGCCGTCTAATTGGATTTTTCCTTTTTTATGGCATCGCATTTCATCGACACCCCAACGCCTAGGCTCACGTGCCACGCCCACGGACTCACGAAAGTCCAATAGAAAAACAAAAGCAATTAAAGCGAAACTTTGCTTTCACTTTCACAGCCAAGTTTCTGCAGAAAAATCTGCTGTCACCGCATAATAAAAGCAAAAGTAGACAACAAATGTGCTTAAGGACCAGTGCTTGCTCCAAGGACCTCCTCCACTCTACAGTAACGTACTTCTCTTTTTCCTTTTAAATTCGACACTCGTTGCGCAACGACTTCAGGGAATACGCAATTGCTGCGGGCAGCAAAGGATTGGCATTGCGTAATCAGATGAAACTGAAATTGAAATTGAAAATTGAAACAGGTTTCCGAAATCAATAAGCAACAAACTTGAATAACTCAACCAGGCAGGACGTCAAGGAGACAACGTGACGTATACGTAATGCAATTGTCGCCAGGCATATTTTCATTTAGGAAAAGAAAAAACAAAAGAGGGCAATAAACGAAAAGAAAACCTTGGAAATTGGAAAACTTGAGTAGCAGATTTTTGTATACCCTTTCAAAACACTTTCAGCCTTGTCCTTTATCCCTAAGAAACCTTAATCAACTCATGTTTTAAATCTATATTTTTTCTATATTTTTTCGTTAAAATTTTTGTGTTAAAATCTTGGAAAATCAAAGTTTAAAAATGCCATAACTAAGTCAAAAAAGCTTTAATTTTAGTTTGGAAAACAGTTCTGTGCTAGTTTTAAGTTTTAAGAAATCAAAATTTTTTCGATTTTTAGGAATTTTAATGATGTAACCCCTTATAAAATTTTGAAAAAAAAAATTACCAAAAATTTTTTTTCTGCAAAACATATCCAGATCGACTCAGTTTTTAATGCTGATTAAGAATATATATGATTTATAGGGTCGGAAATGACTCCTTCACTGCTTTGCAAGCTTCGGACTAAAATTAGATACCCTGCAAGGGTTTAAAAACATCGAAATTAAATAAAAAATTCAAATAAATAGCACATTTCGAACTCGCAAACAGCACCCTTTGCTCGCACAACCTTTTCCTAGAGTATCAAAAAAGATAATGCGCAGGTTTCAGGCTACATAAAGTAGGTAGAAGCTGGCGCGGAATTTAATTTCGTCACAGCGCTCGTGTGTGACGCAAATTCGTCATTTATTTACAGGCGAAACGAAGCGAAAGATTTAAATTTGTGTTCCCCGAAAAGTGAAACGAAATTCTCAAGATAAGGACGAAAGTTATTCTGGTGTATGTGTGTGTGTGCTCGGCATACTTAAGTGCTCGAACAGAAGAGGACAGGACAATAAGGAATCTGGGGATCTATATACACAAAAGTTTCGCTGGCAACTTGATTAGCTGGCAGCAGCATCATTTATTCCAATCAAAAGATTTTAATAAATTGCCAGTCAGTCGAAGGCAAATACAATGGCGAATGGAGATTAATCAATTCCCAGGCCGGCCTGTCAATACAAATATGCTCGAGGGCCCAATGTATGCACATAAATCGAGGAGGAAAAGTTGTAAACAGAGCAGGAACACGAGCAGAAAGACGTCTCCTCCTCTCACACTCCTATATAAATCCGCCAAAAGAAAACACACACAATTTCCCCAATCCTAAAAGTTAATATCTTATCTGGCTGGATCGACGTGGGTTCCAATTCGGCTTTATTTATGGTTTTATTGGATTTACTAAAATATTTATTAAAAGTTTATTAAAATACTTTATAATCCACAGATATCATATCATATCATATGCCATATCGTATCGTACGTACTACATTCGCATGTATATGTATAAGTTGCTTGACATCTTGTATATAATATATATATTTTTATTTATTTATTTATGTATATAGGTGTATATATGTATAATATTGCATACTTTGCGGCGTTTACACACTAGTTTGCCTTACATAGCTCATCGATTCGATAGCATTCGAGTCTAATTCAAGGCTAGTTTCTTCGCTCTACGCATTCAAATTACGCTAACATCTTGTGGGGACTTGGAGGTATTCTCGGTGTTGTGTAGTGTGTGGAGTGTTTGTGATGCTGGGTAGTGGCATAAGCAGCTTAGCTCACAAATAATTGCTGCAAATTAACCAACGGAGAAAGGTTCAGGATTGGTTGGCAGGCCAAATAAAAGTAATGCCCCATGAAAGTGACTCTCTGGCAAATGACAAATGAGCCCCGAGGCGGGGTCCTGTTCAAAGGTTACACTTGTAGACACAACTGTGCGACCTGTTGATTCCGGCAATCATAATATAATTTTGCATAATGCCAGCACAATTAATCAGGGCGAAACAAGTCGAGTGAGTGAGTCACAGGGCTCGGAATGAACTTGAAATTGACTGGAGAGGCAGCCGGCTCGGGGGATGACTCTCAGGTCCTGGGATTAGGAACATTAATCAAAATCAGCCGGCCGCCAAATCAATTGCAACGGAGCACAAAGTGCTTGTCACCTTCGCCTTGACTTCTCCTTTGAGTTATGAAGATGAGTTGGCCAAAATCGGGGGTTTATATTATTGTAAACGGATATGTCGTGTGTCGGTGTCGGTCGTCTTCATATATTTGCTAGTCGGGGAAAATTACAGCTAATAAAGTTGCACAATAAATCTGTATGACTGCTGCTTGACTTAATCTTTCACAAAATTTCACTAAATTTACTTTACTTTTCGTTTGTCGTTACTTTACTGAAGCTTTCTCCGAGGTATTGGTTATCTCTGCTGACGCACATAAGTAGGCTATAAAAATTACACAACATTTAGTTTAGTTTTACTTTAGTTTAGTTTAATTTACTTGCTCTAGACTGGCGCTAGCTTTAATTTAGGCTTAGCTTTAGTTTTGCTTTAGATTTAGCTCTAGTTTAGTTTAATTCATTGCTATAAATGCGAGACACACACAACAAGAATTTTGGAGGTAGTAAAAAACGCTCGTTATCAAAGGGGTTTTCGCGCACAACATTCACTAAGGGTGTATTGAACTATCAAAAGTCGGAATAGAGGCATATGTTTTTTTTTTTTTTGCTTTAGGATAGAGGTATATGTATGTATATTTTAGTTAATGTTATATGTATACACGAGGTATGTAAGTAAGCGGCGCAGAGACAGTGAGTCCCCGCGACCTACACGATCGTACTTATGCATGTACTGAGGTATATGTGGTATATTTGTGGTATTGTATGTACTTTCTGTTCGATTCTCGTTCTCGGTTTGATATATAATCCGTTCCCGATTTTGCACTCCGTCGCGATAAAGCTACCCATTATCTCTTCCCCTCACTCCCAACGCTCTCTGTCATACGTAAACACGCGAAAAACTTGAACTAAATGTGATGATTGGGATCCGTGTGATACGAAGTCTAATACCAAGTCGTTATCGTTATCGATATCGTTATTGTTACTGTTTATCTGTCTATCGTTAGTCGATTCGAATTTGCGTTAATACTATTATCGATATCGTATATAGCTAAATATTAGGCCAATTACTCACTAAACTAGTTTAAGTTTAGTTAAAGCCACATCGATTAATTTTTGAGAGTTGTCGTCTGGTGTTTTTCCGTATCCTTCTTCCATATACTATATATCCTGTCTGCTATTTACATCCCTGCTTAGATGCTATCTATAAGTTCCGCGCTATGTGTATATAATTTTTTCAGAGTTTTCGGCTCGCAGTCTTTTCGGGCTATATATTTATTTAATTATTCGAGTATTCTCACGTCCCCCTCCGTGGATCTGGAGCTCTGGCTAAATGATTATCGAGAGGAATATATATGCTAAGTCTGTCTAGTTAGTGACTACGATTACTAACTCGAGGATTGCTTGTCAATTTGCTAACAGTATAATTTTCTAAAATGGGTTTGGTTTTTTGTTTTATGTTGCTTTTCTATTTGGCCTTCGTTTTTGAGGTTGAGGTTCCTATATAGTTTTGTTGTCTGATCCGGAGGTAGTATCGGTTTCAGTTTTATCTTTCGTTTATGCCACACACGAGGTAGATGCGGTTTCCGATCTGATTCTGCTATGAATTTTTCTATTGGTCCAAAGAAGCTTTGTCCTGGGCACAAAATAAAAGCAGGTAAAATGTAGGAAACTCGGGAAAACTCAGATGAAAGAGGAAATAACAAAGTAAATAAAGTAAGTGATGCATAGCGGGGGCCCCTAAGTAGGCAGCAAATATTTGGCCACGTACACACATGTGTCGCCCGAGAATAATGCAAATTGGGGTTCCCAAGAAGCTGCAGCCAATTACGGCGATTCATTAATGCAGGGGGGAACTTTTGGACGGAGGACCACGGACACCGGAAAAGTGCCAGCCGTGACGCAAAGTTTGGTTCTTTTTTGGCCCCAGAGTGGGAAGCTCGTGTAGGCCATAAAACCGTCGGAGCACAAACCCGGGACTCTCGACTCTCGAGTATATAAGAGACACGTGCCGTGCCGCACACAACAAAAGAGAGTCTCGCTCTTTGGCCCAAGTGAAAGTCAAAGTGAGAGTGAAAGTGGAAATGGAAGTCGTAACCGAGAGCGAAGAGCGTCAGCTGTGCGCAGCGGAAAGGAAATAAAACTGGCAAAGGGATAGACCCTGGGTGGGTGGCTGTTGGGTTTTAGAACGTTTACCCAAGCCAAGTCGTTGGAGGTGCAAAATCAATACTCAAGCTAGAATGCGGCACGCGCTGCCTCCGGAATGTCAAAAGAGGAGGAAGGAGTAGGAGTAGGCCCAAGGAGCAGGCAGTAGGAATCCCACTCAATGGCCTGGCTAAAGTAGTGTCAATAGTGGGCGCTTTCGGGCATTTTAAATTCCCTTTTCCACCCTAAATAGGAGCTTAAGTTGCGTGTAAATTTGTTTGCCAGCTGGATATTTATGATTTTTGGATCCCTTTCGGTGCCATCGATGTGCGTCAGACACGCAAAAGTTAATTAAGCTGCCAGGCTTCAGCCACACACAACACCCACACAACCGCCCGCACCTTGTATGTAGGTCAGTACACGATGAAAAATCAATATGAGCCTTTGAAATATTCAAGGGAACACAAATCATACAAGGATACAAAATTCAAAACAAAACACAGCAATAGATAATGTTTTTCGGATTTTCTTTTTCTCTCATTCTTTTTTTTTTTCGTCTTCGGAAAGTGTATGTACTTTTCCGTCGTTTAAAAGTAAACTAAGGCTAATAAAAAAACAAAAACAAAAGTAACTACAAACTAAATTAAAAACGAAAAACTAATAAGAATCGAAAAAGCAGCTGCTATAATGCCAGGTTAAAGCTTCAGTGGCGACCCGAGGTTTTGTTCTATATACGCACTATGTATCTATGACTATGTCTAGGTTTTATATCTCTATATAATATATAATATATAAGTGTGCGGATAGAGAACGCTCACCGCCACGAGGATTGTTCTTTAATTGCTAATAGTTGCTCTATGTATATGTGTATGTGTGTGTTTATAGTTTTGACTCTTCACTAGAAATTAGTGTGCTTAGTTTTTGTCTAGCTTAAAGTGTTGATTTTCTTTTTCTCTTATAGGGATTTCTTCCGTTTAATTTCTTTCTCGTTTTTTTTTTGTACCTTCAGCGCTCGCATTTCGGTTTTCTCAATTTTGCTACACTTTCGTTCACAAATTTGGGACAATTTACATGGTTTTCTTTGGAACATAAAGGCCGAAACTGAACTCGAAACAAACGCATCATCCTTGCTGTCTTTGAATATTATTTAAAATCCGTAGATATCCTTGCTGCAGTGCCGCTTCTCCTCAGTCAAAGCTTACACATCTAACAAATTGCTCGAATAAGTTAACAGAAATCAAGGGGCTAAGGAAAGTAAACCTGATGATGGGAAACTCAATCAATCGATCAATCAACAAAAGCAAATGTTATCACAGTAAAAAAAACTTAAAGTTGCCATATTTTGAATTTGTTTTTCTTTTTTTAGTTTTTTCTTTATATAGTTTACAATTTTATTGCAATCGTTCTCTGATTCTCGCGTCTCTAAACTACGCTGTGATGCTCTACTAATCCTACCGCTCCTGGTTTTTATGTACAACAGAATTAATTGCTCAACAGAACAGAAGATTTAACAACATGCTGCTTAGGCTTACGGCTATGGCTTAGGGTCAAACTTAAAAAGAAATCAACAAATTGCGCCAAGCTACAAACTTAAGATTACGCTCCTCGATCGTCGATCGGATCGGTCAGCACTATTTTAAATAGTCTACGAAATTTATAATTTTAAAGTCCATCTCTTACACGTCTAGACTAGGAGCTATCCGCTATATATACTATAACTAACGACTATCGAGACTACGTCCTAGGCTTTAGGGACTACAGAAAACGGACTAAAACTAGGCCCGCCGCCGCCTTCCTCTCGCAGCGGGAGGAGGTTGCTCTGTTGGTTACACTTTACAGCTTACAATATATATTTATATATATAGTTTTGATGTTCAGTTATATAAAATCGATCCATTTACAAAAGACAAATTGTAGAAATGGGCTTGTCCAAGCAATCTTTCGCTTAACCTAACAATCCTTGGTTGGTTTGGGTTAATCATAGCCGGCTGTGGGGTGCTTCCATTAGCTAATTGAGAGGCGGGTGGTGAAGGTCTTCTCTTGCTAGAGTCTAGACCTTGGCCAGCTGCTTCTTGGGCCGCATGGGCACAATGCAGTAGCCGGCACTTACATCGCGTCCGCTGACCAGCAGGTTCTTCAGCACTGAGTTGGATTGCTGTTGCTGCTGCTGCTGTTGCTGCTGCTTCTGCTGCTTGCTCTCCGCCGACTGTTGCTGCCAGCGTTCGCTTCCCGCCCGCTTGGTGGCCTGATTCTGCTGCACCTGATCCTTGCCTATGAGCTGCTGTAGAAGCTGCGGCGACTGCACATCCAGGCAGATGGTTCCGCTCTTCAGGCGCTTCGACTCTACTGGGTTTCCAGCTCCTCCTGTCGCACTGTTTAGGTGTCGCTTGTTTCCATGCTGCTGCTGCTGCTGGGGTAGCATAAGCTTTCCCACACGCTGCTGCTGCTGCTGTTGCTGCGTCGTTGCTGGTTTGCTTTCCACCAAACGAATGGTGGCCTTGGTGGTTACCGGCGCAATGCTGGCTCCGTTCAAGATCTTTAAAGCGGGCTGCTGCAGCTGCTCCTGCTGCTGCTGCTGCTGCATTAATCCCTTGTTGTTCTGAATCGTAATCAATGGCACGGCATTCAGTATGATGTTCTGCTGCTGCTGTTGTAGTTGCTGTTGTTGCTGCAGCAACTGAATCGTGGTTACCTTGCAGGGAGCAGGCGAAGCCGTAGGACTTACTGGAGCCTCGGCCACGTGCATCTGCAGCAGATCCCAGCAATCCAGATTTGTAGCTACAAAAAAAAGAAACAAAACCAAGAAAAGTTAGTAAGGTGAAAAACATTCCTAAACCTTGTCGAAATATGCTAGCTAATCCTCAGAATTTATCGAATCAAAAATCTGGCTAAAATTAATTCCTTTGCCCATGACATTGGTGCTAATTTAAAACAATAACACAAACATTTCTTTTATTTTCGCACATAAATAAATTCTATATAGCCACGGGCAACAGTATCTATATCCTTAGCTTTGTATCTATACGTTGAGTATACCTTAACTGCCGGCTGGTGTGTGCGACATAAATCAGCGGGGATTTCACAGAAGGTGGAAAACTATTGGAAAATTCTAAAAAGGCCTTAGGCCTAGGCATCTGTCAATGGAAGCAGGCGAGGGGTACCGCCTGTCATATATCCCCCGGCACTTGCAGTCAATACAATTGACAGGGCCAGTGCCCGATTTCTGTCATTGCGCCAGTGCCAGGCATCAATCACAACATCACAGGGAACGTGCGGTGACATGTGTCAAAGGTAAGAGAGCAATGTGTGAAAATTACGCAAAAAACTGGAGGGGTAAACGAAAGCGAAAACGTTGTTGGAAAACTTGAACCCACATCAATTAGCTCTCCCGCAGTTCCCGTTCCTAAAACCAAGAGTGACATCTTCCGCGACACGCAACCGAAAATTCAGAAATTCTTTTTTTGGTTCTCCCTCTATTTTTACATGTAGGCGTTGGAGTGGCAGCGTGTGCGTGTGCGTTGGCAGCATATCATAAAAAATACAGCAAGTTTCCACCGCGGGTATGGATATTTTTAGTACCGCGCTCTGCCCATAAAATTAGGCCTCTCCGAAAAATGCAGGAGAATATATTGTGTGGAATATATGTATATTTTCAAAAGCATAATTAGCGCCCAAAAGGGAGGAAGGGCAGAGGGGATAAGTCCCCTAGAGGCGGCGGTAAATCAATCTATTCATGTTTTTTTTTTGTTGAATCTATTAAAATTCAAGAGTCGTAAAATGTTCACAAATAATTAGTTTGAAATGTCAGTCAATGGAGGCGATTTTCTGTTTTTATCACTGAAAAATTTCCAAGTAGTCTTTATAATTTTCTACAACTCTTTAAATAAACACAAAAACAAATATTTGATTGACTAAATTTTCCAAATGATAAGCTGCTTATTTATGTGTATCTCATAAACTTTTCTATGATTCTTTTAACACTTTAGCTCTCGCAATTTAGCTGTTAATTTACTTTTCTATATTAATTAATTGTAAACCCTTTTAATCCCTGCATATTTTAACGCTTTCTCCTTATATTTATCCTCCCTTTAATACTTACAATCCTTGCTGTAGTCATTCTCAAATGCTTCCTCCATGGAATGACACAAACTGGGTGCCATGGGCACTTCATATTTCTCCTTTTTGCACTCGATGCTGAGGCTCAGCAACTGCTGCTGCTGTTGTTGTTGTTGCTGCTGGCGCTGCTGCTGCTGCTGATCCTCCTGCAACTGCAACTCCTGCTGCAACTGCTGGAAACTGCGGAAATCATTGTTGCCCTGCTGCTGCTGCAGCCTTTCGTTGCACTCCTCCGCCACAGTCACACCACTGCCTCCCAGAATCGAAAGGGTTCCATTTCCGGATCCACACAACAAGGCTGCCAGTTCGCTCGAATCGGTGGAGAAGACTGGCGCCTGCTGCTGGTGTTGCTGTTGCACAGGCGATGGCGATAACGAAGACACTGTCGATGCAGGCGAAGAGCACAGAGAGTTGGAGAAATGCTGCTGCTGCTGCTGAAGGACACCACCCGCCGACTGCTGCTGCTGTTGCTGCTGCTGTTGGTAGCCACTATTGCTGGCGTACTGCTGGTGATGCTGCTGTTGCAGCTGCTGCAATTGCTGCTGCATGGCATCAATCTCCTTGGGCACCATGGTTTGCAGATCCTCTGGGGGACACCACATGAGATCCGTCTCCGTGAGCAGGGGCATGTCGTCGCCCATTGGGATATAGGGAGCACGCATTCCAAAGTCCACAAAGGAGAAATCATCCTCCTGGGTCAGCGAGGTGGGGCTGCACAGCGATGGCAGACTGCTGTCCTCGGGACTCTGCAATGGAAAGAGATGAAAACGGATTAGTTAGTCAAGGAATAGACACAAATTCTCATCTTAAACCCACCTTTGAAGTGATGCTGGGCGAGTGCAGGTGTTGGGAGCAGCTCGTGTCGTTCGACTCCTCGCGGTAGTTGAACAGCGGATCAATGTTGCTGCTGCTGTTGCTGTTGTCGTGGTGCTGGGGGTGATGTTGTTGCTGCTGCTGGTTGTGTTGTTGCTGCTGCTGCTGTTGCTGGCTGGGATTGAGGGACTGAGTGACCGCTGCCGGATTGGGATTGGGTGTGAGCGGGCTGAGCGGACTGGTGGCATAACTGTTGCTGGGACTGCTGCTGGCAGCCGAATTGCTGCTGCTGCTGTTGGGACTCTGATAGTGCTGGCCACTGGCCGTCGTGGAGCAGGTGGTCGAGTCCAGGGAGTTGATGTCGTCGGGCAGCAGGCAAGAGCCCATAAGGCCCACCAGCATGTCGCTAAACGGTGTCATCTCGTCCAGCTGAATGCAGGCGGTGGAGGCCAGGTGATGGGACAGATCGTCAGGTTCCTCCTTAAGCACTGAAAGTGACAAGAGTAAAAGGAGATGCAGTTAGTGGCGGTTTCACCTAGTTCGCAATGGGGTGCTAGATCTCAATTCGCTTTTTCGACCACGTTCACTGCCACTGTTAATTAACTGCTCCGAATGGAACCCTTGGCTTGTGCTGCCGAATTTTCAATTATCGCTCGACGGAGTCGCCTCTAATTGACAGCTCTCAATTGAATCTAATTGAACGCAACGCGCTTCCCTCGTGAAATTAGTCGCTCCAATTGCGTCCGCCCTGGAATCGAAGCAGAGCCATGATTTTTATGGCTATGGCCGGGGTCGGGGACTCATTATTCAGCATTTTGGAAAAGCGCCTATTGACGTACGCGGAATAAATGCAAGCGAAGCAGGCGAAAACAAACATTCTGGAAACGGGAACCCGAGAGGTTGGCTATTTTTATAGACTTGAATAACCAAAGGGGCGAGTCGAGTGCATCGCCGGAGGCCTATGGCAGTCACCCCAGATCAGGTGCAATACGGCTTATCAGTCGGGGTCTTGAACCCGGGGGCGATCTCCCCAGCTGATTCCACCCGGGATGCACGTCATCTGAGCCGATAGTCAGGCATTCCTAAAGCTCTCAACTATCGCGGGCTCATCTCATACCCAACCCATTCCATACCGATCCCAGCCCATTCCCGTCATGGGGTAAGCTATACTATATGGTATGCTAATAAAACTGGTCCCAACCGCCTCTGTGTGCCGACTATTAAGTTGCAAAATGGAAATGAAAAACTAACTAAAGCGCCAGAGACTCGACCGCAGGCCAAATAGAATTTGAAATGCAAGTCCAAGTTCGTGCGAGTGCATTGTTTGCTTTGGCTCAACCGCTTACTTCTATCAAAGAGTCATATACAAACGGATAAATCCCAACTGCAGCAACTGCCACCGGCAGCCATATAAGCCATAAAGTGGAAATAGATTCTCTGAGGTCTCTCTACTCCAGCCTACACATGTCTCAATTAATGAATATTTTAGAGAGATCAATTTAATTTAATTCAATGTCTCAGCTATTCAACCAATTAAGTATGAATCAGTTTAGTGTGTTCAAAGTCGTTTTACGATTTATCAAGGAAGTATCCTAATTTTAGCCTAGTTTTTTATGAGAAAATAAAACTAAATCCTCGCTATATTTTTATAGCATTTTTCCCCACAGTACAGGAACATATTCCTATTACATTTTCATGGCAGAAGCAATAAAGATGAGATTAGCGGTATATAAGGGATTTGCACAGCTTGTAGCTGCCACAGCTCCCTCTCCCTGACATCTGGCTTGCTCTTGTGGTCGTTGCATTCGACACAAACAAATTAATTAACAATGCACGCCCAAAGGTCTTACCTCGTCTCTGAGTCCTCCCTACCGGCCCCCCTCCCTATCCCGGCAGTGTGACTTGTAATTATGGCACTCGAGTGCTACTCAACGATACCGAACCTTTTTTTTTTGCGGAAAAAACAACAGAAATTATGGCGCATGATAATATAACACACTCAGCGCCTATTGGGGGTCTATCTATATCTAAGCCTATCGGAATCGAGTGCATTTTATGAGATGTTGGCAAAGTGTTTCCATATATTACAGCTCATCGAATGTGTTGTTTTTCGCCAAAGTGCAAGGCCGGGAATTGCATTTAGCGGCCAACTGGCTAACTGGGCCTACACGCAAGGCTAATACACAACAGCTGTAGTTTTACTGGGACTTTAACAACACCCAGTCACCCAGTGATCCAGTCACCCAGAAACAGGGTGCTAAAGGTGGCATATTTTCAGGTTTATTTTAATAAAATATATTAAAGTTCCCAGCTGAATTTAGCTTAAAGAAGCGTCTATCACGTCAACTTTTTTAAGGATAAATAAACATTACCTCCACTGGGAGACATTTCTAATCAAATATGGTGATATTGAATCGTATTTTTCTTCCTATTTCAAAACAAATATATATTTTTCTCAAATCCCATAACATTTTGCTCTGTGCAAAACCTCTGAGGTCGCTCGTGAGCCGCTTGTGAAAGGCATCTCTGTCTGCACTTGAGCCACATTCGGTGCACTTGAGGCGTGTGTATTCGAAAGTTTTCGAGGGAACAGGTTGCCACATTAGCACACACACACACACACACATCGAAATTCATGCTCAACGCGTGACTACTAGGGATCTTGGGCCAGCTGGAAGAACAACCCAGGCGAAAACTGCTTCAATTTAAATAAATTTATGTCATCATCTGCAATTGAAGAGGACGGCGACGGCAACGGCAACGACAACGCTTCGTGCTCGTGATGTGACGTAGTTCCAAATCAAAATCGGAATATGTAAACAACCAAGACGACGCAGAACGGACACGGGCACTTAAGTACCCGGAGAAGATCAGAGAGACAAAACGGGGACAGAGCGTGCATGATGGGCTGCTCCCTGATGAAGCTATATAGCTTTATGTAAGAGCCGAAAAAAATATTGACAATTTACACAGAGCAGCCAGACTCCGGTCCGGACTTGGACTCATCATATCAGCGCTGAACTTGAACTCGGGCGATTAGAAGAGAATTCATTCAACCAATCATCCGTCCGTCTGTTTTTTCTATTATTATTTGTGCTGCTGGTCGTGATGGGCGTGCTTATCACGCGTGCTAATCACGATAGGAGTGCGTTCCCTTGCCTCAACTTCGAACCCAAGCATAATTGCCACTGACTATATTCCCATTAAACCCGTAATGTATCGGGCCCAGTAACCAATTGATATTTATGACCAAGAGTTTTCCTGCCTGCCGCTGTTATCGTTACAAAAATATTAGCTTTTGTAGATTGCGGGCGGATAGCACAACAGCATAGGGTAATTACAGTGGGGCCTTTGTTTTTGTTTGTCAACGGGTTACTTCTGTTTGACCATCCCCACTCCCATTCTCAGTCTCCAGGCCCAAACAGCGATTATCTGTATCTGTGCTGTAACGCCTTGAGAACGCGAGTATCTGTATCTGACAGGCGGCAATCGAAGCGATCGAGTGTTACAACTGATTAGGCTAACGAATGGAATATTTGAAATGTTGGGAAAAATACCGCAGCAGCAAGCGAGGTGACAAGAATTACATAAAAATTCGGTCTACTCATCGCCCAACCAAGAGGGGCTCCCTCCCTCCGCAGAGGCGCAACCGAACCAATTCAAGAAGTGGCGTTGTTTCCCTGTTTATTTACGTTCCACGCAACGAAAATAAATATAGACGCGGTGGGTAAGAATAGGAAAAAGTAAAGTATCTATAAAAAAAAAAAGTGTCCGCCGAGTCTGTAAATGTATCTGTGTCTGCAGGCAGCGCAAAATGTCAACAGAAAGAGGCCGTACTGAAAGCGAGAGCGATTAGGGGCTGCAGGGCCACTTGACAAGAGTTAAGGGGGGCGGTCTCGGGAAGTGGAAGGTGTCATGAGGCATTTCGAAAATACCCATTCCCATTGCCTGCCAGAATTCAGAAATTCAAAATGGGCGGGGTGCTGGAAGGGGGCCGGGACACATGCGAGACAGCTCCGTTTGATCCATGGCCGGACCTTGGCACACGCGCCAAAATTCCTCTCTCTGCCGCTCGCCGCTTTTCACTCTTTTCGGTCCCTCATCACTTAGCATATTAATTGGCTCAAGTTAATATTCATATTTCTGCTTTTTTGTCACCAGGCAGCAACGGCGGCAGCCGGACAACGGAAAAATTCTCTTGCTCGTGAAGAAAAGAAAATAAAAAACATTTCAAATAACCATATATTTGAATAGAGAAAGAAAGAAAGACCAAAACAATCGATGACGAATTTTGGAACAAGTTAATTAAATCATATGATTTTCTAAGGAAATGTATGTAATTTTTTTTTTTATTATTATTATTATTTTTTAAGAGAGAAAAACAACAAATGCTATTCATTATCAAATGCGGAAAATGGCAAAAGCACTTTAAATACAGTTCGTAGTCTCATTTAAAAATTAAAACAAAACCTTTAGACTCTAATCTAATTAATTTAGTGCAGACTATCATTTATTTGCTATTTAGTTTTAATCAATTCCTGTTTAACATAACTGTCAATTTAACAAAGAAATCTGTTACCTAAAAAATATACAACCATCAAGTAGAAAACGTTTTTATAACATTTTATAACCCTGCGTATACTCAACCCATCAATACACCACTTTGCTGTCCCATATATTAAACGATTCCATAACCAACATATTTAGTTAAAAATAAAACTATATAAAAAAAACACATTCAAACTCTAATCTAGGCAATAAACGATCCCCTGGGGTTCCATGTAATACACTGCGTATGCGTAATGCCGGCAAAATGTGACATAAGATGCCGGCGCAATTGCATCGGCAACCGGCTTGCGGTTAAGTACGGATGGGAATCCGCCCCTTCCAACACCCCAAACCGTATATAGCCTCCTATATGTATATATAGCCCCTTATATATGAGCACGTTTATATATTATGCACTTATCAGGCGAGCGCTTTGAACATTGTTTACTAATGCAGTTTTTGAGCGGAAGGTAGGAGGGGCAATCATTTACTTTTGCGAACTGCAAATAAATAGTTTTATTTGCGCAAATTGCGGCCACAGATAAGCGGCACCGAACTGACGATCGCCTGAATGACTGACCAACGAGCGGAGCTGAATGACCAACTGATTGCCAGACTGACAGACTGAGCGACTGACCAACTGAGTGACTGACTGACCAATCAAATCGCAGTGCCCAGAATTACGACAATGCGTCAAATCACATCAAATACCGCGCGCGTCACTAAGTTCGCTGCCTTTGGTTGTTGTTTATTTTTGCATAGAATTTATAAACAAGACAACTACAACTGCATATGCATATGTATGAACAGTTGGAATTGTTGGTGTATTCGTTGGTGTAAATACTTTGGGACTATAGGTGAGTATTGTTGACGTTTATACGCTGACTTTAGCCTTGAACGCAGCACTGCACCTGATGCACCTCACACAGAAAACTACTGCAAAGTGGTTTGCGAAATCTTTCCTTTTTTTTCTATTATTTCTACACAACTTATCAGCTGATTGTGGAATAACGCCCTCCCTAACAACCAAACGAATTGAGTTATATATATATCGCTGACATCTATAATGATGGCTTTTAAGTCTATTGATTTGATAAAATTGATAAAGCTAGTATAAGGATTATTAACATCAGTCAATTGTTTTTGTAAAGACATTGTTGTAAATTAATCAGAAATGTATACATTTTTTTTAGTTCCCCATCTATTGAATTTTTTAGATCTTTGAAGCACCCCTGAGTTATAAGAAATTTGTAGGGAAATATTCTACTTACTTGTTAAGCCTCGTCCATCGTCAGCAAACAGCGAACAGAATCCTTTATTCATATCTTGAGCCGGTTGTGGGTTCTGTGTGGTGTGTTGCTGCTGCTGTTGATGTTGCTGGTTGCTTGAGGAGATAATCGCTGCCGTGGCGGTTGTTGTTGGCGGCAGTGTGGGCTCCACTGGGAGCTGTGGCTTCTTGCCAAGGAGGACAAGAGTCGATGATGGTGGTGGAGTCAAGGGTGGAGCTGGGCTGGGGCGGAAGACCGAAGCGGTCACCGACTTGGGGCGTTTCTCCTCGAGACGCAGACCGCCGCTAGTGCCGCTAAGCAGCGTTGCGGTGATGGTACGCGGTCCTGGCGAGTGGTTTTCCCGCTTGATCAGCAGCTCCGCTTGCAGGATCTGCTTGAGGGGATTGCTCTCGGGGAGCTGTCTTATCTGGGCTGCAGCAGTGGTGGCAGTCGTTACAGTTGCCGGTGGGTTTGCAGTTATTATTTTGGTTTCTGGTAGTTCCAAAGGAGTTTCCTCGTTCTTTTTCTCCGGTTCCTGTTCCAGTTCTAGTTCTGGTTCTAGTTTATCCTCAAGCTCTAGGGGAACAGCTGCCTCGATGGGTTCCTGGTTGGCTGGTTTGAGCTCGGTTACGGCCGGCTTTTCTGGGTCCTGCTCAGTTTCAGCTGGTTGTTGGTGTTGTTCCTTTTGCTCACTTGCCGCCGTTTGTTGAGCGAGTGAGTATATCTCATGTTTGTTCTCAAGATTACTGCAAGGCACAAAACGCGATTCGAATGGGTTTAATTGGGATGCTTATTGGTTCGGTAACTTATTCGCGTTGCACTCGTTTGTTACACCACGGCGAGAAAAGCGATTCGCGGGATTCGTGTCGTATTCAAAAGTATCTGAACATTGTTTATGCACACAATATATCTCGAAGAGAAAAAACCAACAAATATACGGCTCTCTCCTCAAGTAAACAGCAGCCACAACTGCTTGGCACTTGTTCTGGGTTAGTAATTACGAATTAGGCAGACTTAATTAACTCTAAGGGTCCCCTAATGAGCCGAATCGAGCTGGAATTTCCTAGGATCTACTAGAAATTTACTGTACCTCTCTTTACACCGTACAATTAATATTAATACAATCAAAAAAATTATTAAATCTTCTGGTTTTGGTACACCCATTACCTACTTTTAGAGTTGTTACTGTTAATATGATGTGTTTTTTTAAAGCAGTTTTTAAAAATTGTGAAAATTCATATTTCTAATATCCCACTTCCTTTGAAATCCGGTTAATCAAGCAAACAAAAAATTCTAAACATATGTTAGAAATTATCAAAGATTGTAAATGTTTGCTGTGTACAATTATGGCAGGTAAAAGTCCAAACTATTGTGGTCAAACGTGATTTAACGACAATACTCATTTTGGATTTAGCGACTTCTGGGCAATTTCCTACATTTCACAATAACTATAGGAAAATTTTGGGACTGGCGATAAGTCACGTTTCCCCAATGCCACAGTGAATGGCACACCGATGGAGGAGAATCACCGTCGCCAATGCCTTATCAATTATCCAGCGGGGCATCGGACGCCGTGTTTTTGCTCACCCGAGCCGAGTGATAGATAGCACGGCATTAGGTGGGTGTGTCCCAACAAGGCAATAACAAGAAACACACAAGAGCACCCCAGACCCAGATTGATAAGCCCCAGTGTCCCGGTGTAATCAGTAATCCAATGAAGCTACGAAATCCGGAGAGAAGCAGCGCGTCAGAGGAGCCCGGCAACTGGGGAATAGCTGTGGAGCAGTTGCTCCGCTCTCCGATAAGATACGAGCAAGCGATCGGCCGACACAGCCAGATCTACAACGGAGACTCCGGCTCCGTCTCCGGACGGACTGCTGCTACAATTTGCACGGCCGTAAAAAGTGTGCATGCGAGAAGCGAGTGATATTTGGTATAAATATCAAGCAGAGGGCGCGTGAAGCCCCCGTGGGGCCCCCGTGAAACCCCCGTGGAATGTAGTGCGGCGACTGATCTGGCGATAAAGGCGCCATCGCACGATACCGAGGGCTATATTTGTGCCCCGGCCTCGAGTGCTGGACATGATGAGGCGTAATATCACCAGCGCACCAAAACAAACAGACGAGTATTATTTATAATTTCCAGTCAACTCGAGCGGAGCGATTTTTGGGGGCTCGTCCCTCTGGTGAAATAGCCCAAGAACTCGGTGCTGGCGTAGTTCCAGAAGTACCAAACAGGGGCGGGAATTTCGAGTCATGTGCGAGTGTCATTGAAGTGAAGGGTCTGTCTTTGATGGGAAATCTAACGATCTGGCAGATACTCCATTTAAAAGGTGACCAGCCCACTTTTGGGCGGACGAAGGTCTCAATGTCACAACACGTCAAAGGTGTTGCGCAATGGGCCTGGATTTGATTAGGACAAACACGAACTGTATGGAAGGCCTATGGCAGGCAAACACACCCACCTGGCCAAACACACACGCGTCCAAAGCCGGAAGGCAACTGAGTGGACAACAAAAGATACAAATACTAATGCGGCAAGCCGGGAAGCACATATAGTAGTAGTAGCCTAGTACACTTAAATAATTGCTTCATCTTCATTGTTGAGCTCGCCAATTGTGGGGGTCTGGCTCTCTGTTCCCTCTGTCTGGTCTGACACGGGCCAGTTGCAACCAGTTCGAACCGCCCACCGGTGATCGGTTCGGTTCTTTTCGGTCGGTCAGGCCTCCTCCTCAGTTTTTAGGAGGCTTACATCACATTATTAATTAAAAGACCCAAAAAGTCGATAGTAAAGGGGTATAGCAATGGTTGAAACGATAGGAAACGAGATAGAATCCATCACTTAAAGATCTGTCATAACAAAAAAGCACTAGCAAGAAAAAAATATTACTTATTATGCCACCTTAAAAAGTTAAAAATATTTAATGTGGCTAACAAATTTTTCTAACTATGAACCTTTCAAAATAAACAGCTTTTAAAATAATTTATTAGAATCTTTTTTGTTAAATCATGAAATACTTCCGGGCCCACATTTCTCTTTCATTCATTTTTATCTAAAATCTTGGACATTTTTCAATTACACTTGATTTGTTTTAAGCTTACAGTAAATTTTCTAGGTTTATGGGAATAGAAAACGGAAATTCCATTAAATTTAAAACACTTAAAGTGAGTTTGAAGAATCTTTTAAGAAAAATCCAGTGTCTATTATTGCAACCGCTGGTGTGTGTAAACTGCACTAGTAACAAACACTCAAACAGGAGTGTTGATGAAGCTCTGAAATGTTCGAGAAGTTTCTGCCACTGACAAGAGAAACAGATAGAAACTGCACTTGCGATCTTTTCCCCAAACTCTTGAACTGTGCAACTCAAGTGTGGATCGTGTGTGTGGATCGTGGATCGTGAATCGTGACTTATGGAGTGCGACGCCGAAGTGCGAAGTCAGCAGCGCTGCCGCCGATCGCCTGATGTGTTGCCGCGCCCCTCTTCCACTCTTTACGGCCCTGCGCCCTTTCCCACTGATTTTCGCAAATGCACAAATTAATTACCGAGCGAAACTAAACAAGCTGCAAGCTGCAGTTGAGAAAAAAAAAAAAAAAAAAGTAAATAAATAAAAATAAACACAGTAGAAAAACTAAAAGCACAGTTCAAGTTTTCAATATTAACGAATTTTTTGTGGGAATTTAGTTACGTTTTTCTTGTTTCTGATTTCTTTTTTTAACTAAGAAATTATATGTAATTAAATTAATTACATCGTGTTTTTCAAAAGGTTTCTTAAAGACATTTGGCAATATCACAATATCAATTTGGAACAGGGTCGTACGTATACTTAATTTTTGTTTTAAATTTTGAATTTATCCCATTTTTACGTTTTGATTTTAAAGGTTTTGGTTTAGTAAATTCATCTGCTTTTAATTTCTTATTGTGTAACAAATTGCGTCGAAGAACGGAAGACAGAAGAAGAGATAAGAGAAATCAGCGACCATAAAAAGAGAGGAACAAAACAAGCAGACGACAACAAACACAAAGTGCCTGAAACAAAAAAAAGAAACAACAAAAGCCCGAGAGGCTGTAAATTTGCTCTTCTTTTGCTCCTCTTCTTTCAATTGCAGAGCAATAACGGGTACACTGCTCCCCCTCGCCGGCACAATCCTCCTGCCACCCCCCAAAAATAGCAGTAATTGCTTTCGCCTGTGTCTGTGTGTCTGTGCAGTAAATTGAATGAACGAAAAAAACAGTATAAAAGATGATCAAAAAGGAACCCAGAATTGTGCGCTGCTCCATGTTTACTGAGAGTTGTGTAATCGGGTGAACACTACAAGAAAATTTATAAATGCAATTACACGCACTCTTTAGCATAAATTAATTGCCATAAACAAATGCAAATGCGCTGGTCGATTTTATGTAATGCAAATTTGCAATTGCAATGTGGCGAAAACGAGTCGAAGAAGAATGGGGAGATAGAGAGAGCGGAGAGATTATTTTTGTTTTTGGACAACGCATGCAGAATGCAATTCTGCAGTCGGCGTTGCAGTTGCAGCGCCGTTGCAGCGCAGCAGCCGCAGTTTGCAGGTTAGGAACGAGTGTTGTGTAAAACTTGTCCCATCTTTTGTTTTACTCTCTTGTTCTTGATTCCTCTGCTGTTATTTATTGTGGCATATTTTCATTTTATCCGGCGATCAATTATGATTATTGTTATTATTTCGTTCGCGAGCGAGTGCTTTTCTAGCCGCGTGTAACAAACTTTTGCACACTTTTCTAATGATTGGATTCAGTTTTGTGTTTTTATTTTTTTTATTTTAGCTGATTTTGATAATCGCTCAAACACACGCACACATGCAGCGACCGATTAAAATAGCAATTATATGTGTTTTAAATTATATATTCGCCTGACCAAGTGAGTGTGTGTGTTCCACGCATAATAAAGTTTATTTTTGTCAATTTGTTGTTTGTGTCGTATTTTTGTTTTTTTGACTATTTATTCTTTTTTTTTTCTTCTTAATTTTTTTGAACACGATCACACAAATACAAAAACTCTACACTTGACGTTTTTATGTAATTTATTAAATTAACTTTCGTGTTGCGATGATGACAATCGTTTTACCTTTTGAACTTGTTACTTGTTTTTTGCAGTATTTACAGTTTAGTTAGGTTTTTTATTTTCAATTCTCGCTTTTATTTAATTTTCGCGACTTCGACTCGACTCGACGGCAGCTGGCGAAGTAAAACAAAACGGCAATCGGCGATTGTTTTTAAGCGCGACGATCGGAGAGGCTAGAGGCGAGATAGCAACGGCGGCGACAGAGTTTAGTTAATAGTTTTTTTTTTTTTTTTGTGTTTAGTGCGCCTCTCTCTGTTTCTTTTTATTGTTTTTCGGGCTTCAGTTTAAAGTTTTTTTCGGGGCAGTGCACGGAAAAAAGTGAAGTGAGCGCTGCGATTGCTGAGAGACGAATGAGTGGAACGCCAGCGCAGGAATAACGGCGAGGCTTTTTTCGACGCGACGCCAAGAGCTCCAAGAGAGCCAGCGTGCGGTTCTGAGTGGAAGAGAGCGTAACGCCGGCGCACTACAGCTTGAGTGCTTTTCGCTTGAGTCATCTCTGCGTATGAGTGATTTTTTTTTGTCGCATAAGCGAAATATGCGACGACGATTTATTATTGTTTTTATGCCAAACAAATCAGCTGAGCGGAGCGCCACTCACTCTCCCACCAAAAGATGAGTGGAACGCATACCTATATTTAAGTAGGCCTAAT